TTAAACCTAAACGCCTATCATTTAAATGTGACGAAGTGAATAATGCTATATCAAAATTAGTGCATTGGTTTAACGTTAATATTCTGCATTTAAATAGCATTAAAACTAAATGTATTAAATTTACAACAACAAATGTTAAAAATCTCAATACCAATGTGTTTTTAAATGGGGAAGAACTGAGCCCTGTTGAATCCTCTGTTATTCTTGGCATCACTCTCGACGTAATGCTTCAGTGGGGTACCCATATATCCAAACTAGCAAGCAGACTAAGCTCTGCAGCTTATGCTGTAAAAAAGATTAGAGATCTCACTAGTGTCGAGACAGCCAGATTACTTTATTTCAGTTATTTCCATAGCATAATGTCTTATGGGATTTTGCTATGGTGAAATGCGGCTGATTTAGAAATTATTTTTCTTTTTGCAGAAGAGGGCCATAAGAGCAATTTACAACCTTAAACCGAGAGAGTCTCTTAGAGAAAAATTTAAAGAAATAAATATATTAACTCCCCTCAGTATATTTACAAAAAATTAATTTATGGTTACAAAACAAAGTTTTAGTAAAAAAAGTGATATACACTCTGTAAGCACTAGGAACAAACACAAGTTAATGATACCGGTCTCTCGACTCTACAGAGTCAGTAATTCATTTTTGGGCCAATGTATACGCTATTACAACAAGGTCCCCGAAAATATACAAGGTATCTCTATTACCAAGTTTAAATATTATTTAATTAAACAAAAGCTGTATAAAAGGGTTATTATAATATAAATGAATACATGGTTGATAATAACCCCTGGGAATGAGGTGGTCGCTTACAAGCTGTTCCTAAAATAAATTTTGTAAATAGTTTGTAATCATTTATATTGTAAAATTTATTTTAAAGAAAAGTCCCGCTGTGTTTCTTGCTGGTTCTTCCCAGGACAGAGGATTTTTTTCGAACCAGTGGTAAAGTAAAAAATTACTTTCAATACTTGTAATCAATATTGAATAAAAATTATTCTATTCTATTCTAAAAAAAGGTTCTCGAGTGGCAGCCTTGTACTGGTAAACGAAATGTAGGGCGACCCCCCCACTAAATGGAGTGACGACCTGGTAAGACATGCAGGAAGTCAATGGATGCAGGTGGCTCAGGACCGTGCTTTTTGGCATTCTTTAGGGGAGGCCTATGTTCAGCAGTGGACTTATGAAGGGCTGTAATGAAACAGAAACAGAAACAGAAACAGAAACTTTTTTATTCAATATAGATTATAAATAATACTTATTGAAAGTCATTCTTTTGTTTGATTACCACTGGTTCGGAAAAAACCTCTGTCCTGGGAAGAACCAGCAAGAAACCCAGCGGGACTTTTTTTTTAAATAACAGCTTACAATCATGATGTTACACAAATTAACAACACAACAAATTAGAAATAGCTTGGTAGCGATCACCTCATTTCCAGGGGTTATTATCATCCATAAATTCCTTAATATTATAATAACCCTTTTTATACAAACTTAGTTTAATAAAGTTTTTGAACTTTGAACAGGCCAAACTTTGTATATTTTCTGGAATTTTGTTGTAAAAGCGTATACATCGCCCCAAGAATGAATTACTGACTCGATGGAGTCGAGTAACTGGTACTACTAGCTTGTGTCTGTTCCTAGTATTTACAGAATGAATATCACTTATTTTTATAAAACTACTTTTATTTTTGTGTACGTACATTAAATTTTCATAAATGTATTGAGAGGCCAAAGTTAATATATTAATTTCCTTAAATTTTTGTCGCAGCGACTCTTTAGGCTTTAAATCATAAATTGCTCTTATGGCCCTCTTCTGCAAAACAAATATAATTTCTGTGTCAGCTGCGTGTCCCCATAGCAAAATACCATACGACATTATGCTATGGAAGTAGCTGAAGTAAACTAGTCTAGCTGTTTCAACACTGGTTAGACTTCTAATCTTTTTTACAGCATATGCTGCAGAACTAAGTCTGCTTGCTAGTTTTGATATATGGGGGCTCCATTGAAGCTTCGCGTCTAGTGTGATTCCAAGAAAAATGGTGGTATCTACAAGACTCAGTTTCTCCCCATTTAAAATTACATTAGTATTTAATTGTTTGACATTTGGAGTCACGAATTTCATACATTTTGTTTTAGTGCCATTTAAATGCAAATTATTAACATCGAACCAATTTACTAATTTAGATATAGCATTATTTACTTCGTCATATTTTAGTAACTGTCGACTTAATTTGAAAATTAAAGAAGTGTCATCTGCAAATAATACTATATCATGGTTATCCCCTACTATGTAAGGTAAGTCATTAATGTATACAAGAAACAGAAAGGGGCCGAGAATTGAGCCTTGAGGCACGCCCATTTGTACCATCGATCCGGAAGAGCTCATATTGTTAATGACAACTTTTTGCGTTCTCTTACTTAAATATGAAATAATTAATTTAAGGGCATCACTTCTTACACCGTAGTGTTGAAGTTTCCTGATTAATGTTTCATGGTGAACACAATCGAAGGCCTTGGATAGGTCACAAAATATACCCAAAGCATCCTGTGAATTCTCCCATGCATTAAAGATATATTTAATCAGCTCAACACCGGCATCAGTTGTCGAGCGACCCCTTGTGAAACCAAATTGATTTTTATGAAGTAAATTATTTATATTAAAAAAATTTAACATTTGATCAAGAACAATTTTTTCAAAAATCTTACTAAGTGTTGGTAGTACAGAAATAGGTCTAAAATTGGCGGGGTCTAATGTACTACCAGATTTAAATAAAGGTATTACTTTACTATGCTTCATTAAATCAGGAAACACACCAGATTCGATACTAGTATTAAAAATAATAGCTAAATGAGGCGCGATTGTATCTATTATAGACGCAATAACTTTAACGGAAATCCCCCACAGATCCGCAGTTTTCTTAACATCAATAGTTTTAAAATATTTTACAATATCTTTTGATGTCACTTTATGAAATGTAAAATTCTTTGTACACACATTTACATTATGTTTAAGTAATGATTCGGCGACGGCAGGAGAAGAATTTAGTGACTTAGTGGTCAAGATCGGAATATCAGTAAAATATTTCTCAAAAACCATTGCTACGTCCTGATCTGATACAGTTAATTTGTTGTTAACACTTAACTGGTAATTTGAATTGCGAGAGTTGATCTTACCAGTTTCGCTATTAATTATACTCCATGTCATTTTAATTTTATTGGAAGCCGTCTTAATTTTGTTGCTCAAATGCAAAGACTTGGCTATGGAGCACACTCTTTTAAATATTTTTGAATATTTTTTTACATATTCCCTAAATTCGACGCTATGATTATATGACCTTTCATGGTAAAGATCATATAACCTATGCCTGCTCTTATGGACTCCTACTGTCGCCCATTCATTGAATGACTTTCGACTGTTCAAGGAGAATGTTTTAGAAGTAAAAGTATTATTAAATTCATTGCAAATAAGCTTAAATAATGTTCCATACAAAAAATTAGGATCATTTTGGTATGAAAGTGATGGAAGTTTTTTCACTATGTTACTTCTAAATTTCTCCAAGCGACGTGCATTTACTGGAACAGACACAACTTTCTCATCTACTTGCTTTTTGTGAACATAAGGTAACGAAACTACTTGTCCACAGTGATCAGAACTTAATTTTTGAATTATACATTTATGCAACGGCTTCACATTTGTAAAAATGTTATCTATACATGTTGCACTAGATTGAGAAATACGCGTTGGCTCTATAAATAAATTAAAAAGACCATATGATTTAAACAATGATCTAAATTTAATATTGATGGATTGATGGATTAAACACTTTGAGATAGAGCTTAACAATAAATAGAATTCAGTGAACGTTTGTGTCATCTGTGTTTTAGACAGCAGCGCTCTTCTCTTTAAGATTATACATTTCACTGTATACAAAACCGATCACTTATCAATAAGTAATTTAAAGTTGTAGAGTGTAGGTAAGCCTCCTTGTGTGTAGTATGACAGTGTGTGTATGTGTGTCGGAGGTTAAGTATAAGATTTAACCAGGAACATTAAGTAATTGTTCGGTTTCGTTATAGATCAGTTTATTAATATATTCAAATAGTTTCCTTTTGCACTCTTTAATATTTAAACTTCGTAAGTCCACAATTTTGTAAATTTTAGAATATAAGTAGATATGGAACCAAAAAGAGAAAATATGTATGTATGTATAAATGTGTATGTGTAAGTAATAGAGAATATATTTACGAATTGGTGTTTAAATGTTGGAGTAGTGGGGAAAGTTATGTATATCTCTGTGGCACTTAGAAATGGCAATTGTATCAGAGTTTGAGTGTTGTTTTATGAAACTATTATGATAGTGAGCAGGATGAGCAATTGACGAACTGAGAGGACTTCACGAGATTGATACAGGAGGTACGTATGAAACAAATAGGGGCGAAAAGTGCTTACTTTAAGAATAGCTCTTTGAGCTATTTCAAGTGCTGTAATTGTCGTTTCTGGTGCACCTCCCCATACAGTAAGGCCGTAACCCACTATAGATTATCCAAGAGCCAGGTAGATTTGTTTTACTAATTTAGGATCTGCCACATTCCTTATATTTTTATAAACGTATATCAGATTTCTCAACCTTGCAGTAATTAAATTAACATGAGGTTGAAATGAAAGATTTTTATCTATAAGAATACCAAGATATTTAACCATATTGGTACCAGTTAATGAAGGGCAATGGCATACATCAACATTGCAGCAATAATGCGTAATCAGAGAAAGCGAAGGAGTTGAAGAGGTGGTTTTTCGCATAGAGAAATGTATGAAGACGGTTTTATCGGCATCGTAATGTATGCAGTCTGTATATTAGCTTTTAGCAGTCTGTGGCTTACACTTTTCCGTCAGTCAGTCGATTGTCAACATTCAGTACGATCAGACTCATTAGGTTAATTTTATAAAGATATTAGTTTTATTTTCAAAAAGTACAATAAGCGAAATTAACAATAAAATGACAACTTTGAAACAAGTTCCTCTTACATGTGGTGGCCATACTAGACCAGTTGTGCATTTAGATTTTAGTGACGTTACAAAAGATGGATATTATTTGATTTCGGCCTGCAAAGGTAAGTTTTAATTGTTGCTTTGCACTCAGGGTGTTTTTTTCCATGGCCTACATAGAGAAACTTACAAGTGTTGTTTGTTGTTTTTTTGTGACGGTTGTCTGCCAAATGTTAGAAGTAGAGATGCGTTCTGGAGGCCTTCACTTTTCTTATTTCGCGAGTGGCTCTACTCGGCCGGTATGCATTCTGTACATGATCTGACCTTCTCTTTCCGGACATGCAGGAAGCACCTTGAGTTCCGTTCATATGTTTCCCCGCGGCAGTCGCTTGCCTTGGGAGTTAAATCGTGCTTTTTATTCTTACTATGTGTCAAGATATACGCATTTCACGCCTTTGTGTGTTTACGAAATGGAACTATGATTAAAACTTTGTTTCTTTCCTGTTACTTGTTGACATTTCACTGACTGTAGGTCACCTTGTATTTACACAAGGTTCCTTAAAGTACTTGACATTATTGTTTACCACATAGAATGTTAAGCAAACTCCAGAATTACTTTCATTGTCTTATTGGATAAGGAAAAATATAAGCTATTAAGATTCCATTTGAAATTCTGTTTTGTCTTGTTGTCTTGTCTTGTTCTGTTATACAAACTTAATATAAAGTCTAAAACATTTAAGAATAGAGTTTTTTTCAATTCAGATATAGCAATCATGTTTATTTCCTTTTGTGGTGACAATTTTGTCTATGTCATAAAATCTCTTCTTCTAAAATTTTTAATTTTTAAAAAGTATACACTTTTTAAAATATGGGGTGACATACATAATTTTAAAAGAATTTAGTGCATAATTTATAAAATGCCTAAATTGAATAACTAAAACATAAAAGTTGCTATTGCTAAACAATTTATTCATGGTTAACAAATTAACTGCAGTCCATGGGGATACCTGTCCATGTCACCTCTGAGAACTTAGATATACTGGCTCTCTATATTCTTCAGGCTGGATTACAGCAAAGCAGTGTTTGCTCTGCTATGTTCTGGTCTGGCGTTAGAAATATGTAAGAGCATTGTTCTTTTATATAGGATTAAGGTGACAAACGAGCACACTGTCCACCTGATGGTAAGTGGATGCTGTATTCCATAGACATTTGCTATGATGCGAATGGGTCTGCTCGACCGGGGAAGGACCACGCTCTCACAGAATACTAGCATAAAATAGCAGCTTAATGCTGCTGTGTTTCGTATGGTGAGTGTAGAGAACCAGAGACCCTTTTTACTGGAAAAGAGGCATTTCATCTCATGGCTGACAACACATCTGCATTTTGGTTTGTGAACAAGGTCTATGGGACACAACAACAACTTACCATCAGGTAGATTGTGTGCTCATTTGTCACCCTTATTCTAAAAAAAATGTATAGCGACACTAAAAAGAGACAAACAGATCTCTAGGATTTAGCCTGCGAGAGAATGAGATATAATACAGTATACAGTGTTTCTTATTGTCTATTATATACTTTAGTTACCATAAGCCACTTGTGTCATTTGTTGAAATTGTAATCCTGGAGTCTGTATTCTACATATTATTTATATTACATTACATATTATGGAATGTAATATAAATAATATGTAGAATAAAATGTAAAATAAATTTTAAGCTTGGTTTTTTATTTATTATATTTTCCAGATAAGTCTAATGAGGCAAAATGTGCCACCTGTATTCTTAACATGTATACTGTATTTTACATAAAATACTTATGAAGAAGTTTCTCTTTTTTTAACCACAGAAACTACTTTGGATTTCTATCAGTAGTTGTCAAATGTGCATAAAATATATTTTTATATATGGTTGTCACATGCAATGAAAAATTACATTTTACTACATTACATCCTTTATCTGTCCTATTGCAGGGCACATAAGCCCATTAACTACAAGTAGCCAGTACAAACTCTTGAGGCAACATTTTATGTACACTTGTGACATTGTTTGTAGAAGATTTCTGAATCTCGACAACAATGTCACCTACAGGTTGAAATTGTGAATCTAAACCATTCCCTAATCAACTCAATAACACACACAAAATTACATCAAAATCGGTAAAGGGGTAGTTCAGTCACATATATATGGACAGAAGAATTATATGGGTCATTCATGTTAAGAGGTTTTCTTTGCATAGAGGATGCAATAAAAAAGAAAAGTTGAAATTTTTTGATTAAACACTTATCTTACGACTTTAGTCCCTTTTAAGCACACATTCATGAGAGTGCAAGTCAATTTTTACATATTTAGTTGTTTTTGAAAAGCCAGGGTAAATACATTGGGCAGGGGAGAGACTTGGACATAATTTAAAATAACTTTTATTAAACATTGTACTTAACTTATAATTAGAGTATAATTTTTGTATTACAGTCTTTCTTTAAATCTTAAATTATAGCTTCTTTGGTGTCTGAGACAAAAAATATTAGTTTTTTTGTCACAGACCAAACAAGCTTATTTATTGGTAAATTAAGAAATGAGAGACATCATATATCACATTATTTAATCAATATTAACTAAAGAGACTAGTTATTTTTGCAAGTTCATTATTTCATAGCTTACTTTCACTTTACGTTTATTTTCCATCAATCGTACCTTTCCAAATTTTTTCAAAGCTTTCATATTTTTTTCGTTCAGTGGTATCTATGCCATATTGAATTATTTATTTTCCAGTTCTCTTTTCTCTTTCAGTTTTCGATCTTTTAAAAATGCGGTTTTCCTTTTCATATCATCATCATCATCATCATTACAGCCCTTCACAAGTCCACTGCTGAACATAGGCCCCCCCCCCCAAAGAATGCCACAAAGCACGGTCCTGAGCCACCTGCATCCATCGACTTCCTGCATATCTTACCAGGTCGTCACTCCATCTAGTGGGGGGACGCCCTACACTTCGCCTGCCGGTACGAGGCTGCCACTCGAGAACCTTTCTTCCCCATCGGTTGTCGGTTTTTCGAGCTATATGGCCGGCCCATTGCCACTTCAGCTTACTAATCCGTTGGGCTATGTCGGTCACTCTAGTTCTACTGCGGATATCCTCATTTCTGAGTTTATCACGCAGAGAAACTCCGAGCATAGCCCCCTCCATAGCTCGCTGAGCGACCTTGAGCTTCCTCATCCGGCCAGCAGTGAAGGACCACGTCTCAGTTCCGTATGTCATCACTGGCAACACGCACTGGGTGTACAGTCTCGTTTTCAAGTTTTGAGGTATACCTGACGAGAAGATGTGCCGTAATTTCCCGAACGCTGCCCAACCGAGTTGAAACCGAGCTTAGTGTTCCCAACAACTACCGGCATAGGTGTGACATGGACGTTAAGCATGATATTTGTTTTGTCCATGTTCATCTTAAGACCTATCCGTTGGGAAACACTATTAAGGTCATTGAGCATAGTGCTTAGGTCCTCCAGCGATTCTGCCATAAGGACTATATCGTCGGCAAATCGAAGGTGAGTGATGTACTCGCCATTGATGTTGATACCGTATCCTTTCCAGTCCAGAAGCTTGAAAACATCTTCCAATGCAGCGGTAAAGAGTTTTGGGGATATGACGTCACCCTGTCTTACACCTCTCTGCAATTGGATAGGTTTCGTACTCTGGTTCTGTACTAGGATAGCCATCGTAGTCCTACTGTACAAGCACTTCAACACTTCGATATACTGACAGTCAACTTGGCATCGCTGAAGGGACTGCAGCACCGCCCAAATTTCGACGGAATCAAAGGCTTTCTCATAGTCCACATACGCCAGACATAGTGGAAAATTGTACTCCTCGGACTTCTGTACAATTTGCCGAAGGGTATGTATGTGGTCTATGGTGCTAAAGCCTTTTCGGAAACCGGCTTGTTCGGGAGGCTGGAAGTCGTCAAGTCTGCGCGCGAGACGATTCGTAATGACTCTCGAAAACAGCACGTAGACGCGGCTCAGAAGGGAAATCGGTCTGTAGTTCTTCAAGAGAGCGTTGTCGCCTTTCTTGAAGAACAAGACCACCGCACTTCTGCTCCACGCCTCCGGTGTAATGCCACCATGGAGGACGGAATTAAAGAGCTTCTGAAGGACTTCAAGTACCGGTTTTCCACCCGCTTTCAGAAGCTCCGCTGTAATTCCATCCTCGCCTGGGGCCTTGCCGTTTTTAAGGTGCTGGAGAGCCATTCTAATCTCGCTCAGACTGACGTCCGGGATATCATCGGAATAGTGTCGGATAAGACTCGCTCTTGGATCGTTACTCACACTTGCGTGCGGCTCCAACGATGACGTGTACAGCTGCCCATAGAACCTCTCAATCTCACTCAAAATCTCAGGTGCCCCGGAAACGATGCTGCCACATTCTGTCTTCAGCTTTGACAGTTGGCGCTTTCTGGCAGACAGATCTCTGGCAAAGACTTTGGAGCCTTGGTTCCGCTCGATCGCTTCTTCAATACGAGCTGTATTGAAGTTGCGTAAGTCCCGCCGCATGCATTTGGAGATCTGTCTGTTCAGTTGCCTGTATGCTGTCAAATCTGTTGAAGAATGTAGCTTCATTTCCCGTCTAACAGCCATGAGATTAAGAGTGTGATCGGAGAGTTTTTGTGTTCTTCTGCGGCGGGTCTTGCAGAACTTAGCTCCGACCGCATGGACAGTTTCCACGAGCTTGTCATTCAAATCGTCCACTTCATTGCAGTCTTCTAGGCACTGAAAACGGTTTTGTAACTCGAGCTGAAAGGTTTCGGGACTTTGGAACAGAGCACGAGGGGGACGGAGCGTTGACTTCATTAGACGAGACCTCTCCAACTTAACGTTTAGGTTCAGTGTGCCTCTAACCATTCGGTGATCGCTGCCGGTTTTCACAATCGCGATCACTGAGACATCACTGAACAGTTGTCGTCTGGTCGTCATAATGAAGTCAATCTCATTTTTTGTCGAACCGTCGGGGCTCGACCAGGTCCACTTCCTGTGGGGCCGCTTCTGGAAGAAAGAGTTCATCATAAAGATTCCCTCTTTCTCCATGAAGTCAGCCAACTGCTGGCCCCTTGGGTTCCGTTGCCCTATTCCAAATTTCCCTACTTTCAGCTCACCGTTCTCTCGTGCCTAGTTTTGCATTGAAGTCTCCCATTAACACCGTATATTGGGTTTTGGAGGAATGCATGGCTCTAGAGATATCCTCATACATTTCCTCCACCTCCTGATCGGGGTGTGCCGAGGTTGGTGCGTAAACCTGTATGACCTTCAGCGAATACCGTTTGGTGATTCTGACTATAAGGTACGCAACCCTCGTCGACACACTCAATCTTTACAACGTTGTTAACGAGAGACTTGTGGACGATAAATCCGACACCTCCTTGGGACAGATGGTCGCCCTCCCGGTAATAGAGCAAGTTGCCGGATTCGAGGATTACCGTGTCCTCCCCCTCTCTTCGGACTTCGGATAATCCTATAATATGCCAGCGTAACTTGTCTATCTCTTCTTGCAGCTCCACAATCTTCTCGTCAGTCCTCAGGGTGCGTGCGTTGTATGTTGCCAGGTCGAGTCGTCGTAGGTGGCAATCGAACCTCCACCGGAGATTCTTAGCACCCCCTGCCTCGCCGTTACCATGGTCGCCACCGTAGCCAGGAATAGCGGGGCCGCCGGGGACTGGGGGCCGTTTATTATTGTCATTGCTCATGGGGGGGTATATTGCCATAGTTGCCACGCTTGGCGAGCGGGTTGGCAACCGCAGTTTTCATATGTAAGAGTAGAATAATTTTCTTCTAATTGTTGATTCAGCACTTCTGCAAACAGTAATTTTTTTTACTCTTTCTGCAACTTGGGGAATTCATCACTTGTTCTACTTTGCTGTTAAGGGTTAGTTTTTGATGTTTTTTTTTTGATATTTGTAATCTTTTTTTGTAACATGCTAATTTCTTCTTTACACTTTACTTTATCCTCTTGTTTTTCATTATTTAAATATCTTTGTACCTAGCTTGGTCTCATCTCTAGCAATATAATAAACAACAAAATAATAACAATATATTTTTTTATAGGATAAGGGTGACAAACGAGCACACAGTCCACCTGATGTTAAGTGGTTACTGTGGTCCATAGACATCTACATCTATCTTCGATTACAAATCAAAATGCAGATGCGTTGTCACCCGTGTGGACTATGATTGAATGCCTCGTTTCCATTAAAAAGGATCTCCGGTTCTTTACACTCACCATACAAAACAGCAGCGTTAAGCTGCTATTTTACGTTGGTATTCTGTGAGAGTGTGGTCCTTTCCCTTTCGAGCTACAACTATACTACTAATAGCTTCAGCATGGCTCTACCACGTATAAAATTACGTAAATAATTAATTACCACGCATAAAATTAATAGTAAAATCGGATCATAAACAAAGAAATAAGCCGAGAACATATTAAAAAACATCCCTGAATAAAAACAGGTATCGAAACCAACACAGATTGAATTCAAACAAATTCATTCTAACTGTATATATCTATATACTACATAATATGCAGATGTACAGTAATGATTTTGAATTCCTTTCTTTTTAATAGAAGTTGATAACGTTAACTATACCTGAATTAGAATGTTAACTATATCTCAATTAGCTTATACAAACATCTAATGACCCACATTATCTCCCATGGTCAGCGAGTATCTCCCCTGGTTATCTTGCCAGGGGAAATATGGCAGGGAGAGATGTTTTCTTCACTAACTTAACTTTTTTGACAGACATACGTTAATTTTAGATTAATAATATGTCACACTTTAACTATTACACTGTTTTTGAATTAAATCAATAAATGCAAAATAAATTAAGTGAATTATTTAATTTTACGACATATCAGAGGAAAGAAATACACCGCACTGTTGCATCCAACTAAATAATGACAGTGATTTAACGTCTCGTTTGTTTAGTGTTGAAAACTTCTCGATGATGCGTATATGTGTGGTTGTTTGTCACTCTTATCATATAAAAAAAAACCAAATACAAAGTAGGTACTAATTAGGACAAAAATAAAGTTTGTAAATCATTAAAAATAAACAAATATTTTTGTATTTTTCTTTTATTATAGTAAAGTATATTTATTTAAATTTGTGCTAAACATACTTTTAGTGGGCACTTGCAACAACAAAGCTATGTAATGTCTGCATGTTTGACAAAAAGGGGACAAACCATGGTAAAGACTTTTTCAGACTTAAATACGTCATTTTAGGAAAATGTGCTTTAATTGAGCATTCAATCATAATGCTATTTGTAAAATACATTAAGATGCTCCCTCCGAATTATTGTATAAAATGACAACACAATAAATAATCTTAATAATTATTGCTGTGCATATTACCTCTTATCGTAGAATCACCATATAATATATAATGTGCATGTATTTTACATATAAACCTTACTCTTGAATTATTCTGTCTATTGATGAACACTGTTTTTTTTTTAGAATAAGGGTGACAAACGAGCACACAGTCCACCTGATGGTAAGTGGTTGCTGTGGCCCATAGACATCTACATCTATCTTTGTTTGCGAATTAAAATGCAGATACGTTGTCAGCCGTGAAGACTAAGATGGAATTCCTCTTTTCGAGTAAAAAGGGTCTCCGGTTCTCTACACTCAACATATGAAACACAGCAGCATTAAGCCGCTATTTTACGCTGGTATACTGTGAGAGCGTGGTCCTTCCCCGGTTGAGCCGACCCATTTGTGCTACAGCTATACTATTAATATAGTTGCAGCATGGCTCTACCACATATAACTGTTGCCTAGTTTCAAAAATCTAAGCATGCAGACGGCGGGAAGCAACTTCGTTTTATAGAGATTTAAACCTCACTATGTTATATAGTAAAATTCAAACCTCACTGTGTTATAATGTCTTATGGGATTTTGCTATGGGGGAAATGCGGCTGATTCAGAAACTATTTTTGTTTTACAGAAGAGGGCCATTAGTGGTATTTACAACCTAAAACCGAGAGAGTCTCAGAGATAAATTTAAAGAAATAAATATATTAACTTCGGCCTCTCAGTATATTTACGAAAATTTTATGTATGTTTACAAAAACAAGTTTTAGTAAAAAAAGTGATGTGCATTCTGTACACACTAGGAACAAACACAAGCTAGTGATACCAGTTTCTTGACTCCACAGAGTCAGTAATTCATTCTTGGGGTATACGCTATTACAACAAGGTCCCGGAAAGTGTACAGGCTCTCTCTATTAGCAAGTTTAAATGTTTTGTTAAGTTGAAACTGTATAAAAAGGGTTATTATAGTATAAATGAATACATGGTTGATAATAACCCCCGGGAATGAGGTGATCGCTTCCAAGCTGTTTCTAAAATAAAAATTGTACTTATATAGTTTGTACAACCATTATTGTAAAATTTGCTTTAAAAAAAAGGTCCCGCTGGGTTTCTTGCTGGTTCTTCCCAGGACAGAGGTTTTTTTTCGAACCAGTGGTAAAGTAAAAAATGACTTTCAATAACAATTACACATGTGATCTATATTGAATAAAAAATTATTCTATTGTATTCGATTGTATTCTATAGTACATGTTTTTTTTTGTTTATAGATGGCAAACCTATGTTGCGGCAAGGCGAGACTGGTGACTGGATTGGTACTTTTGAGGGTCACAAAGGTGCTGTTTGGGGAGTAGCTCTAACACAAAATGCTAATTTAGCGGCAAGTGGAGCAGCTGACTTTTCAGGTATCAATTAAATTGGTAGGTGGTGCTTTTTACAGTGTAAATATATTAAAATTTATTAATATTAATTACATGAATACAACACCACCTATCAAAAAAATAAGAATTTGTGTTATTATGTAGTGGTAAATATAAATATATTTTGAGTTATTTTTAGTGTTCGACCGAAACAGGATTTTCAACCAAAACTGAACGAACCTTCAGTCTGGGTGCTAGTTTCGGCCGAAACTGAAACTTTGTTAGACATGTAATTTTTTTATTGTATACCTAAATCTAGTATATTTTTTACACATACAGATAGGTAATTCATTTTAATGAAAAACAATAATAGTAGTAGTCATGTAGCAATATATTTATTTATTTTAAAGTAAAAATTCAACATTTACACATAAAAAGTTAAACATAAAAAGTTACACATAAAAAGGAACACATACGAACGACGCACGATAATACTCGAACACTGAGTTTCGGCGCCGCCGAAGTTTCGGCAGATTAGTGCCAAAACCGAAACTAGATTTTTTGCCGAAATTTGCCGAAACCGAAACTGAGTCTTACACGGTCTTACGTCGGTCACACAAATAACTTATTTTGCTTCACAAATATAGATTTTTTTATTCCAGCATAGCTATAAACCAAAACCATCACCTTGACAAAACAAATATTACATTATGTCAATATGACCTAAATTGAACAAGGCATTCAGAATTTAAATGACAGACATGAATTTGATATATTTGTTTGGAATAAAATAAAGGATATCAGGGAAAATAGGGCTTTATTTTTTTTGCCTTTAAAAAAGAAATTGAAATCTAAATTCATGTTTTAGTTAAAAAATAAGATTATATTTCTTTAAATAATAGTGCCAAGTAAATGGAGCACACCTAGCTAACCTTCAGCGTAGCCTTCACTTTTATTTATTGACTTTATTGTCATTTATATCTTGATAACAATCTATGATCCCGACTTACGACGTTAATGTTTATATGTACAACAGATCATTTAAATACATAACTATTTAATTTTATTCATTCATTTATTATAGCCTGTTAAAAGACACTGTTGAACATAGGCCTCACCCATAGCTTGCCTATCATGCTTGGTAGAGGGGTTGGCAGCTGCAATTTCTTATCTTATTTTCAGTTGTTATGGGAAATATACTGCTGCCCATCGCCTGTTTTCATTTCATTCCATTGCCTCTTGTAACTCCCACAGGATTATAGATATGGGGAAGTGGATATTCTTACACCGCCACTACATAGCATGCTTAATAATTGAATATTTAATATAATACACCATGTTTTATATGATAGTATGCTTGGTAGCAAGCAGTAAGAATGAGTGAATGTGTATGGCAGAAAAAGATATGAATCAACGAACTCCTAGGCCGCGATAGACCACTTCGTTTCCAATGGGTGAAACTGTCCCCAGGCGCATGACGCAGCCTGATCTACATGATCTGTATTTTAAGTAATATTAGAGCAACGAAAATCATGGTAGGAAGCAATTGTGGACCAACTTCAGACAATGAAAGTTACAGATGTCCCACAGATTGAGCATTAATTTGTTATAGTGGCTCTTACTATTTAAAACCATACACAACCTATTCTGGAGTGAACCCACTGTTCACTGTTTCCCCTACATTGAGACGGCATAAATGGGCTTCAACGGCAAAGTTGATTAAAATTTTATAGTTATTTTACGTTTGATAAAAATAATAATTATAATTAATAGAATCAGATTTTGCATTGCAAAAATCCATTTTATTAAAGATGTTAAAAGTAAGATCTGCGTAAATAATAAAAAAAACGAAGTCTTACAGCCTAGCTTGAAGAGCAAATTCGCTTTTATGATAAATCATTTAACTAAATAACTTTAACATCTTTAAAATAACAATGGTTAAACCAAGGATGTTCATTAGTTTTCGATTCAATCAAAATCAGGCTTGAACAGTTTTCTTTTTGCTTACTTTTACAGTTCTTTTTTTCTAAACAAACTTTATAACCACGCTATTATTATATATTTCGTATGTTAAAGAGAGTCAGAGGGAAAGAAAGTTGATTAAATTATTTTGCTATTATTTTCCAGCGAAATTATGGGACGCGCGTTATGGCGATGTGGTGCAGACGTTTGACCACGAGCATATAGTAAAGAGCGTGAACTTCAACGCTGACGATACACTGCTGCTCACCGCTAGCAACGAGAAACTAATACGTGTTTTCGACCTTAACAAACCTGATGCAGGAGGTGAGGTCATTTAATAATCACAAAAATATTAACTATAAAGCCAATCAGATTCAACGGAACCACAAGCTTCTTTTGCTTTAACAGACTGTACCAGTCCACTACTGGACATGGTTCTCATAACAAATTCTCAATAATCTAAAGTGCCCTGGTCTAATCAAGAATCTAAATATAATCTAATAAAGGCTCAGAGTGTGCGAGATATTAATAAAGGGAAAGAAAGATCTATTAAATGTCAATTTGGACAAATATTCAATGATTAAAATGTACTCATAAACTAAAATCTTATTTTAGAAATATAGTAATATCACTCTTTTCATTTTCAAAAGCAACTAAAAAAATTAGCTAAATTATTAATTAAAAGAACTTTAAAATAAGTAACTATGACAGGTCGCCTTTGAAATAAGTAACATTATATTATACAATATAATAAATTGAATTATATGATTAAATTGAAGATAGTTCCTACTTTGGACATTCTACCGTAAATATTATCTAATAAGGAGGGTGGTAAAACTATTTGAATTTTTAATGCAAGGTAAATTGGATTAAATTAAATTTGTTACAATTAAATTGGATTATACTGACGGCCGGAAGTTTTAGACGGAGATTTTGACTGAGTCCTTCAAAGGTACTTAATACCTGTCATAGTTAATTTAGGTACACATATTTTTTATATTTTAAATTACAAGACATTATTGTATATTTTTTCTGTTTTGTATGGTGATAACTTAAATGGCACATTTTTACATTAGGTATCATTATTTAACTTTTACGTAGTTTTCTGTGTACCGGTTCTACAATTCTTGGTTTGAATTCTACCTAAAGAGAGTGAGGGGCGGGTAATACAAATAACAGTGACTAATGTAATTTGCAGAGATCAGATCCTTTTCTCAGGCACATGAGATTACAAATAAACATGCCTCCACTTTCCATGAAACTACACTCTATGAAGGTGTCAGACTAAAATATCAGCACAAAAAGTAAGGATATTTGTGTCATTACAATATTTCCACCGAAGTTGATAGATTCTTGTCTTCCTATTATTTCTGTAAAATTGAAAATTTAATACATAAAACTCTAATGTTTGCTCGAATGAAAATTGAATAGAATGCTCATATTATATTTTCTTAATGAAGTATATTTTTATAATTTTGAGTTGTATCAGTATGATACTATTACCAATGTCCAGTTTCAATTCACTCTGTCATCTCATACAAAGTCCACGGGATGATAATCAATTCTCTTACGCCGCCTTTACACGACGACTTTACTGTAATGTATATGTTACTGTAGACTGTCACAGTACACTTTATAGTTAGCCTTTCTAAGTACTCTGACAGCTTTACCTCTATACCTTAGCAAGCTTTTAATCCTACAATAAATAATATTCGAATTCGGTAAAAAGAGGATTACCAAAATTTAATGCATGGCAATTTAGAAATTCTACTGAAGTAAATAACGCCTAGTTGAGATGTACTAGAGTGGCAGACATATCTGCCTGTTTTTTGTTTTAAAATGTAATCACAGTCACACAATGTAGAGTCCGAAAATAAACAAGGTTGTTCAAGGCAAAAGCTGGATAACATTCGCTGCTGTTGGTCTTAGATTTTCAATAAAATTGTTTTTATAACTTCTTCTGATATCAATGACATTTTTCTGATATTTATATATTTTTTCGATTTTCAGCCATAGAAAAGATAAGTGCACATACAAACAGTATAAGGCACGCGGTGTTCCTGCAGAATTCGCGCATCGCAAGCGTGAGTGACGATCTTACATTGCGGGTCTGGGATCGGAATAGCGGACAGGTAAATATCACGAGATATCACGACATATCACCCGTGTAGTGATGGTGTAAGAGCAACCACTACCCCATTTTGTTCCGTGGGGAACTGAAATAGGAGACAATCAGCATCATCATCTTGATAAGAACGCAAAATAATTTAAAAAAAAACTGATCCCATTGTCAAGAATGGCAACTATGGCAAAATCCTCTTATGAGGCAACCTATTGGAAATGCCTATGTTCAGCAGTGTACTCTAAAGGGCAGTGAATGAATGAATAAATAAACCACGTATAAAATAAATTTTATACGTGGTAGAACCATGCTGCAGCTATATTTCTGGTATAGTTGTAACACGAATGGGTCGGCTCGACCGGTGAAGGACCGCAGGCAGGCTGTTTCCTTTTATTTCCTGCCTAGTGTTCAGTTAAAGGAGTAGAAGAATTTTTGAAGGACTTTTTAATAAATTTATATTTTTAAGCCACACCACTTTCGAGTTTTGTACTTTGTTTACTACTTTGTTTGTTTGTTTGTTTGAATTTGAGTGAGTGGTTAAGAGTCAACTAATGCCCGGTTTCTATATTTTAAAACGCCTCGCTTTCTTTACGAGCCGTTTTGCAGTAAATTAAGTGTATGTAAATCCTATTTTTAAAACAAAATACCAGTTCAACAATTTTTGAACTATTTAGTTTTTCATTTTAAATTATTCTAAATTGCTGAATAGTAGTAGTTTGGAATATAAACTATTTATACATGCACCTTGTATGTAATAAAACGACAATGTAATTTTGACATTATAAACAGATACTTCAATTTTATTTTTTCCTACATTACTAGCTGGCGGAAGAAATTTTTGAATTTTTGTGTTTCTATTCAATTTAACAAATTTTACAAGATATTATTAAATATAATTGTTTATGAATTAGGCCCATAAGTACTATCTACGTTTATCACGATTATACTACGTAATAATATATTATTATGGACAATTAATTTGGGACTTAGATTGGATTTCAACTATATAAAAGTTGAATACTGACACAAAAAAAAAACTTTTACGTGGTAGAGCCATGCTGCAGCTATATTAGTAGTATAGTTGTAGCACGAATGGGTCGGCTCGACCGGGGAAGGACCACGCTCTCACAGAATACCAGCGTAAAATAGCAGTTTAACACTGCTGTGTTTCGTATGGTGAGTGTAGAGAACCGGAGACCCTTTTTACTGGAAAAGAGGCATTCCATCCTAGTCTTCACGGGTGACAACGCATCTGCATTTTGATTCGCAAACGAGGATAGATGTAGATGTCTATGAGCCACAGCAACCACTTACCATCAGGTGGACTGTGTGCTCGTTTGTCACCCTATAGTATAAAAAAAGATAAAAAAAAAAACGAAAAGTTTCTGTAGATCAGTCAGATGCAGATTTCTTTTCATTAATCAATAGTATTTTATTCTCTTGACTAAAGTCGCATTGACGTAAAACCGGTATATGTATGATTTGTTATATGATTTTTGAATTTGTTTTGTTTCAGGAAGTTAACAAAATTGAATTTCCAACCATTCCCAACAGCCTAGAACTGTCAAGGGATGGAGCAATATTGACGGTGGCACACGGTAATTTACATTTTTGTTACACACTAGTATTTTTTTAGAAACTTCCTGTCAAAAGCAATTAACATGTGAAGAGCTAATAGTTTTAGGATGACTGAATGAACAGATAAAGCACGGTCGCGTTGCAGGAATTTTTTATTGCTTTGCAGTTTTAAACATTATTCCTATCATAAAAATTTTTTATTTCTATTGCAACTCCAAATAATTTTAAGACCTTTTGAACAATATTTTTGATTCGAAAACAGAGTTTATTCTCAAGTAATTAAAGTTCACATTTGTATGAATTGCAATAATTTGAAATCCTTCCTGCTCGGCCATCACGCCATAGATACAATGAGAATTTTTAAATGACATATTGTGTTAATTTGACCCCAATTCCACCTAGATTGGTGTCACATTAGGTTTTTAGCTGTAATTGTATATGGGACTTAAGATGCTTTCGTAAAAATTCATAATTTACTCTTAGGCATGTTTGTTTAAACATTTATTTGCCTTCAAATGCCAAGCTAACCTTTACTATTCTATTCTTAATTCTATTTTAAATTCTAGTTTTCAAAAAACAACAAACTTATTAGATTGATGATGGGCAAAGCATTACCAGTGCAAGAATATTATGCTTGCAGTACGAATGGGTCGGCTCGACCGGAGAAAGACCACGCTCACACAGAATACCAGCGTCAAATAGCAGCTTAATGCTCCTGTGTTTCGTATGGTGAGTGTAGAGAATCGGAGACCCACCCTATTTACTGGAAACAAGGCATTCCATCTTAGTCCTCATAGGTGACAACGCATCTGCATTTTGATTCGTAGTTGAGGATAGATGTAGATGTCTATGAGCCAAAGCATCCATTTACCATCAGGTGGACTGTATGCTCGTTTGTTATCCTATTTCTATAAAAAAAGAAACAGATTACGTAGTGTCTCACATGGCGACTGTGGAGAACTGGAGATCCTTTTTACTGGTGACGAGGTATTCTATCTTAGTTTTCACGGGTGACAACACATGTACATTTTAATTCTTAATCATAGACTGAGATCAGATTTCAAAGGATTTAAATTTCAAAGAAAGAAGATATATTATGTAGGTATCTATGGGCCATAAAATTTACTTACCATCTAGTAGGCTCCGAGTTTGTATCTCAACTTTATTCTATAAAAAGCCCTATGTATGTAGAAATAAAAAGGCTGTTTATGATGTGAATTCTTTACGACTAGTTTATAGTTTACCATTCGTTCCCTGCTATAATTATTTTATGCCCAAGGTACAAACGTTTCGTTCTACTCGTCGGACACGATGCGCAAGATGCGCGAGTTCCCAGTGCCGACCAAATGCCTCTCAGCGTCGCTGGCGCCCAGCCGTGCTACCTTCGTCTGCGCCGGCGAGGACCTAAAAGTCTACAAGTTTGACTACAACACTGGGACAGAGCTCGGTAAGTTTTGTAGACCAGCATTAAATTATGGCCGAAGTATTAGCTTGGGGGAAAAGTTTCTTCGTAGTCATTTATATACAAATTCAAGACATTTTTTTTTCAAAGTTAAATTACATTAAATTATAATATATATATGTTCCATTTTGTTCGATAACTAATTTCCATCTTGTATATAGTGAAATCTTGTGATTCTTGATCAAAAAAATGCGACAAATAATTTTGACAATCCTTTCTTGATATTAACCTAACACTACCTAAAGAATTCTGAAGTAACCGAAACAGGCGAAAATCTGAGGGTGCAAGGTCAGAACTTTATGGTGGATCCATTAACACTTCCTAACCAAGCTCTCTCAATTTTTGCTGAGGGGCCAAAGATGTGTGTGGTCTGGCGTTATCATGATGAAAGACCACTCCTTTTCTGTTGATCAATTCCGGCCGTTTTTTCTCAATTTCTTGCTCGAGTCTCATTAGTTGTTGGCAGTAGAGATCCGAATCGATGGTTTTGCATGGCGGTAAAAGTTTATGATAAATGAAATGCCCTTCCAATCCACACAGCATTATTATACCTTATTGCGTTTCGCTACAGTCTGTTTTTTTATAGGATAGGGTGACAAACGAGCACACAGCACCTGATGGTAAGTGGATGCTGTGGCCCATAGATATCAACAATTATCCTCAATTACGATTCAAAATGCAGATGCGTTATCACCCCTGAGGATTAAGATGGAATGCCTCATTTCCAGTAAAAAGGGTCTCTACAATTACCAAACGAAACACAGCAGCGTTAAGCTGCTATTTTACGCTGGTATTTTGTGAAAGCGTGGTCCTACCCCGGTCGAGCTAATCCACTCGTGCTGCCGCTATAATATAGCTGTAGCGTGGCTCTACCACGTGAAAGAACTACCCTAGTTTGAATACCCTTTGACCATGATTTTTTTCGCACGTTCTTGTCGTAGGATCACTTTTCATCACCAGTGATCAATCTTTTCAAAAATGGTTCGGTTTCATTACGTTTCAATAGGTAATCGCAAATGAGTACACGATTCATTAGATTTCTTTCAGTGAGCTCGTAAGCTGAGCGGTACCCAAATACTGAGCTTTTTTGTATAGCCAGACTTTTTCAAATGTTGACCAACTGTTTTGTGGTCAATCCTCAATTCTCTCGGCATCGACTATCATTTGTGCGGACAGAAAAACAATTGAAAAATGGTGGGAATGTGTTTTTTTACATTTTATTTTTCTGTCTTTTAATGTCCTATACGAGGGTCCGTTTTTAAGTTCGTGAAAGTTCGGGAAGTGCGGGAAAAATTTTTCAGTGATGAAGAAGTGAATGAATCAGTTTCGACGTATTTTTTAGACAAAGACAAATTATTTTTTTTGAGGGTATACATAAGTTAATTGAAATATCCGAAAAATGTATTAGGTTAGCAGGTGTATATTGAAAAGGAAAAATAAATTTGGATTTTTATTTCCACGCCTTATCTCCCGTTCCTCGAACGTAAAAACGCACCCTCGTATGTATTGATATTGAAACCAGCCAGATACAAACAGTACAACCTAAGACATTTTTCTTTTATTTTATACAAACGAAACACGAAGAAACTTTTTCCCCGGCCTATAATTGTAAACTGTAGCTAAATCATGAAAATAAATTTAATTATTTAAATGATATGTAAAGGAGATGAACTTCGTTCCATACAAGCTTGGGCCCGGCGTGAACAAAGTTCAAATATATCTTAATTTGAAGAGAGTAACATTTGTTACTTATGACAAAAAATCATAGTTTTGTAAGACCTGGGGTTTTGTTTTTATTTTGTTTTATTATTGGTAGGTTATATAGTAAAATCACTCGTTCTTGGTTATAAGTTGTTTCAATAAATTGAAAAGAACACAAAAGTATGCCGTTTTTTGTTATTATAAAAAAAATTACAACTCAAAGTTTTCTGATTGTCTAATTATTTTCTGCAATTATTAATAAAATGTCATCTAGAAAAGCAGCCGGGGGCTGTACATTGTCTGTTCTATTCCTCTCAAAACCCAAGTAACACATTATTAATCATTAATATTATGTGGTCGCAACATTTTACTGTCCTGTAAATCGAGAGAAAACGCAGGCGTCAAGTTAAATTAATTCACGAAAATAAAAACACGAAATATATCCAGAAAGACAACCACAATGCCAAATGCGCATGACAAGTTTAAACTCGAAGTTACCAAAGTCTCCTTCAAAACAGGCAATGATCAACGACCATACAGCCTATTCAATCGTGTCCAATATTATTCAAATATTTTGTTTAGTTTAATAACGTAGCCTATTCAATCGATTTTCTAAATAGATTTCTTTTATTCATTATTAATCTCTAGTGATTCGCCTCAATGTTTCAATATTATGAGCTTTTTTTGATACTGAAGGCTATTTATTACAAAAAAAATAGCCTTCATTATCTAATGCCATAGACAAAATACATAAAAATATTTAAAAATGCTGCTATGGTAAAACCATTAGCTTTCGTTTTTCAGTTTAAAAAAATGTATTTATGATTGTCCCATACACTACAGAAATTAAAACCATTTAGTAATGCCATGTCACACCTATGCCGATAGTTGTTGGGAACACTAAGCTCGAAGTTGTTGACGAGTATGTTTACCTGGGACAAATAGTCCGACTGGGTAAGTCCAACTTCGACCGAGAGGTCAATCGACGGATTCAACTCGGCTGGGCAGCGTTCGGGAAGCTACGACACATCTTCTCGTCAGACATACCTCAAAACCTTAAAACGAAATTGTACAACCAGTGCGTGTTGCCAGTGATGACTTACGGAACTGAGACGTGGTCCTTCACTGCTGGCCGTATGAGGAAGCTCAAGGTCGCTCAGCGAGCTATGGAGAGGGCTATGCTCGGAGTTTCTCTGCGTGATAAACTTAGGAATGAGGATATCCGCAGTAGAACCAGAGTGACCGACATAGCCCAACGGATTAGTAAGCTGAAGTGGCAGTGGGCCGGCCATATAGCTCGAAGAACCGACAACCGATGGGGAAGAAAGGTTCTCGAGTGGCAGCCTCGTACCGGTAGACGAAGTGTAGGGCGTCCCCCCACGAGATGGAGTGACGACCTGGTAAGACATGCAGGAAGTCGATGGATGCAGGTGGCTCAGGACCGTGTTTTGTGGCATTCTTTGGGGGAGGCCTATGTTCAGCAGTGGACTTGTGAAGGGCTGTAATGATGATGATGATGATGAGTAATGCTTATAATTTATCGTTATATTACGTACATATTTTTGTATAACCGTTACGAACGATGTCAACAACCCAATTTCATACATCTCCTTTATTATTCTTTATGTATTTATCTCAATATTTAAATTATGTGTCTCATGTAAGTTAAAAAAGTATTGTTTTAAAAGTAGATGTAAAGAACTTCGCAAAGTATATTATATTGAATTTTTTTTATGTAATTAGGTCTCATTACTCCAGTTATTATCAGTTTGTTCACTGTGTTAGGGCCAAATGTGAGAAAGGCTGGAATGACTATGTAGCCTGGGGTGGTATTGACATTATGACGCAATGATCAGGAATCCACACATTTTCCACCTTAAGGCCACTCTTAACACAATTTAGTATGAGTTCTTTAACTGCCTACACTTTTAAATATCGATAATTTTAGTATAGTGGCATTGATTTTGTACGCAGAATCTAATAAAGGGCACTTCGGGCCGGTGCACATCGTGCGGTGGTCGCCGGACGGCGAGCTGTACGCGACCGGGTCGGAGGACGGCACCGTGCGCCTGTGGCAGGGCGTGCCCGGCCGCGTGTACGGGCTGTGGCGCCGCAGCCAGGACGCCGCGCCGCTCGCCAACGGGTACAAGGAGCTCGCCGCCAACTGACCCCCCCACTACCACTCGGTGAGTGCGCACACAGGGTAGCTGCCGATAGAGCAGACGCTGTGCCGCTCGCCAACGGGTACAAGGAGCTAGCCGCCAACTGACCCCCCCACTACCACTCGGTGAGTGCGCACACAGGCTGGCTGCCGATAGAGCAGGTCGCCGCGCCGCACGCTAACGGGTACAAGGAGCTCGCCGCCAACTGACCCCCCCACCACCACTCGGTGAGTGCGCAGACAGGCTGGCTGCCGATAGAGCAGGACGCCGCGCCGCTCGCCAACGGGTACAAGGAGCTCGCCGCCAACTGACCCCCCCACCACCACTCGGTGAGTGCGCAGACAGGCTGGCTGCCGATAGAGCAGGACGCCGCGCCGCTCGCCAACGGGTACAAGGAGCTCGCCGCCAACTGACCCCCCCACTACCACTCGGTGAGTGCGCACACAGGGTAGCTGCCGATAGAGCAGACGCTGCGCCGCTCGCCAACGGGTACAAGGAGCTAGCCGCCAACTGACCCCCCCACCACCACTCGGTGAGTGCGCAGACAGGCTGGCTGCCGATAGAGCAGGACGCCGCGCCGCTCGCCAACGGGTACAAGGAGCTCGCCGCCAACTGACCCCCCCACCACCACTCGGTGAGTGCGCAGACAGGCTGGCTGCCGATAGAGCAGGACGCCGCGCCGCTCGCCAACGGGTACAAGGAGCTCGCCGCCAACTGACCCCCCCACTACCACTCGGTGAGTGCGCACACAGGGTAGCTGCCGATAGAGCAGACGCTGCGCCGCTCGCCAACGGGTACAAGGAGCTAGCCGCCAACTGACCCCCCCACCACCACTCGGTGAGTGCGCAGACAGGCTGGCTGCCGATAGAGCAGGACGCCGCGCCGCTCGCCAACGGGTACAAGGAGCTCGCCGCCAACTGACCCCCCCACTACCACTCGGTGAGTGCGCACACAGGGTAGCTGCCGATAGAGCAGACGCTGCGCCGCTCGCCAACGGGTACAAGGAGCTAGCCGCCAACTGACCCCCCCACCACCACTCGGTGAGTGCGCAGACAGGCTGGCTGCCGATAGAGCAGGACGCCGCGCCGCTCGCCAACGGGTACAAGGAGCTCGCCGCCAACTGACCCCCCCACCACCACTCGGTGAGTGCGCAGACAGGCTGGCTGCCGATAGAGCAGGACGCCGCGCCGCTCGCCAACGGGTACAAGGAGCTCGCCGCCAACTGACCCCCCCACTACCACTCGGTGAGTGCGCACACAGGGTAGCTGCCGATAGAGCAGACGCTGCGCCGCTCGCCAACGGGTACAAGGAGCTAGCCGCCAACTGACCCCCCCACCACCACTCGGTGAGTGCGCAGACAGGCTGGCTGCCGATAGAGCAGGACGCCGCGCCGCTCGCCAACGGGTACAAGGAGCTCGCCGCCAACTGACCCCCCCACCACCACTCGGTGAGTGCGCAGACAGGCTGGCTGCCGATAGAGCAGGACGCCGCGCCGCTCGCCAACGGGTACAAGGAGCTAGCCGCCAACTGACCCCCCCACTACCACTCGGTGAGTGCGCACACAGGCTGGCTGCCGATAGAGCAGGTCGCCGCGCCGCACGCTAACGGGTACAAGGAGCTCGCCGCCAACTGACCCCCCCACCACCACTCGGTGAGTGCGCAGACAGGCTGGCTGCCGATAGAGCAGGACGCCGCGCCGCTCGCCAACGGGTACAAGGAGCTAGCCGCCAACTGACCCTCCCACCACCACTCGGTGAGTGCGCAGACAGGCTGGCTGCCGATAGAGCAGGACGCCGCGCCGCTCGCCAACGGGTACAAGGAGCTCGCCGCCAACTGACCCCCCCACCACCACTCGGTGAGTGCGCAGACAGGCTGGCTGCCGATAGAGCAGGACGCCGCGCCGCTCGCCAACGGGTACAAGGAGCTCGCCGCCAACTGACCCCCCCACCACCACTCGGTGAGTGCGCAGACAGGCTGGCTGCCGATAGAGCAGGACGCCGCGCCGCTCGCCAACGGGTACAAGGAGCTCGCCGCCAACTGACCCCCCCACTACCACTCGGTGAGTGCGCACACAGGGTAGCTGCCGATAGAGCAGACGCTGCGCCGCTCGCCTACGGGTACAAGGAGCTAGCCGCCAACTGACCCCCCCACCACCACTCGGTGAGTGCGCAGACAGGCTGGCTGCCGATAGAGCAGGACGCCGCGCCGCTCGCCAACGGGTACAAGGAGCTCGCCGCCAACTGACCCCCCCACTACCACTCGGTGAGTGCGCACACAGGGTAGCTGCCGATAGAGCAGACGCTGCGCCGCTCGCCAACGGGTACAAGGAGCTAGCCGCCAACTGACCCCCCCACCACCACTCGGTGAGTGCGCAGACAGGCTGGCTGCCGATAGAGCAGGACGCCGCGCCGCTCGCCAACGGGTACAAGGAGCTAGCCGTCAACTGACCCCCCCACTACCACTCGGTGAGTGCGTACACAGGCTGGCTGCCTACAGACGTGGCGCTTCTCGTCAACTATGAAAGGTCGTGATAGTCCCGTTTAACTATTTCTGCTGCCACATAGCATTGATGTGCTCTGGTTTGGGTGGACTAATTCTCAGAGGTGACGAAGCATCTGTAGCTTTGTTTCGAAGTCAGCTGCAGGTATTCATGGATTGCAGTATCCACTTACCATCATGTGGAAATTTTTGGTATCTGATGTCGATTATCTTTGTTTCATGAGAACATGCACTACAGTCCTGATGCTATTATATCAAAATTGAAACAAATACAAAGAGAATGTTGCATGTCATAAATGCAGTTATTTTTGTTGCAGAGCGACGAAGAAGAGCAGTGAGTGTGCAATCAAAATTAAACACTTGGTATTGTGCGACCAAGTGTAGTGTATGCCACCAGGCCAAGTGATTGACGTTTATAACGTGGCGGGCACCCGCACGGGAAATCAAGACTATATTGTTATCGGATTGTGTTTGTGTTGTTTATTTTTTTAATGCAACACTACTTTTTATACTAAAAAACGCAATGTATTTATTGTAAAAAAGAAACAAAATAGACTCGACGATAATATGCAACAAAATAAAGTGATTTGTAAATAAGATTTCTATTGTTTGATTTCCTCTTTCTTTTTTATCGAATAAAAAGGTAAAAGTGTTTACTAGTACGAATAGTAAATATTTTAGCGCTGATTTTAATGACAGAATCTTTTGACACACAAACCACTCATTTACAAAGATGACATTTATCATGTTGAAAGTGGTTTTAAACAAGGTTTTAAATGACAAAATAGCATAGATTAGGAATAGCGTTGAAAGGAAAGTAAAACAATTTATAAATAATTGGTGAGATTTGTATTTTTAAAATTATAATAGTTAAAACTATGACGTACAAAAACTAATTATTAATAATTATGCCGATATTTTACAAAAATAATTTACAAGTTCTAGAATCCTAGGCACATCACTAGGCAGTGTATTATCATAATCAACAAAGGAAACTGCTTATTTTTACGCTACGTACATGTTATAATTACGTATTAAGTTTATTGAATCTAATAATGTAATGGTAACATTGAGTAGGTAGGTGTTGCAATACTGGTAAACACTAGCGAATTATAACTAACCTTACGTATTTTGTCTCGTTCATTAAAGCTAAAAATGGCCCTATATTATTTCATAATTTTCATATCATGAGTAAAGAGATATATTACAGTACCTACTTTGAAATAAATGTCTAAGAGTTTTCAACTGGGTAAATACTTTGGTAGGAAGTTTTGGCGGGAACCTCCGGTGGGTAGCTGTTCCCGTATTGTCGTTAAAATAATGGTTTGGACTGGATTTGTATGCATAAACGCTTGCAATTTTGTGTATTAAATGTCTGCGTACGTAAAGTATTAGTGGAAACGATGAAGCAAGTGCTGCGATGGTGATATTAAATTATATTACTCCAGTTACTTGAGAGCCGTAGTAGCTCAGAGGCTACCCGCCGTAACCAATGAAATTAGTTAATTGCAGTTTTAAAAACCGATTTGTCACGTGCTCGACGGTGAAATAAAACATTGTAAGGAAACTTGTATGTCTCAGAAATTAAATATAAAAAATATATATTTTGAAGACTTGTGAAGATCGCCAACATGCCTTGGGCAGCGCGGCGGACACTTGCCCTCTTAGAAATGAATGGAACAATGGGACCATTATTAATTATTATAATCGCCTCATTACTTTCATAAAGTATTTTGCTTTTTATGCGCCTTGATATTTGAGTCGTCATCGACTATCTGCTGGCTATGCTTCTAATTATTTGTTTAGAAATTTCTTCACAATATGTCGATGCGTCACATTACAAAGATTTTCAAACCGACAGATGAGATAATTAGAAAATAGAAGATACATATTTATAAAAGTATACTATTGTATCTTATATTATACCACATAAAAAATTGTCTGCTAGTATAATAACATTACAACGTTCACTTTATAATAAGTTTAGATTTTCCGTAAAAATGCAGAAAATAATGTAATTATTAAACAATAATAAGCCTTAGCATGATCATCCATCTATTGATCATCACCTTGATTTGTATAATATTTTGTCTTTCACTTTTATACAGGGTTATTTATCAAAGAGTAGTCAAATTTTAAATTTACAAATAACGATATACCGTTATTGCAATTTTTGCAAATACGAGTAAGGCTTGTACTTTTATTTGAAATTATCCCAAATTGAATATGATTTATGGACAACAACGTTTTTGCCTACCGATCGATCCTTACGTAAATCATTGAAAATAATGCATTAGCATGCATTTTGAATTTCAAAGATAAAAAGAACAGAATGTTTGAGATTCTTTATAACTAATTTTTCTTCATCACTTGCCTATATTACTTATTCTGAACCTTTTGCAAATTTGGCCGGTTATTGCAAAATAACCCTGTATAATGTCACTATGGGTATTAAATCTAAATTCTGGTACATACCTATGTACCTATTTAAATTAAATAATTTACACCGATATTTACATGCAATTAAGTACATCCAAATTTATAAAAACATATTTTAAGGTTTATAAACAAACGTAAGTTTATTGCATATAATTTATATGCATAGCCGAATTAAAAGACCAAAAAATGTTTTTAATATTTGCGTTAAAAATACACTAGACACTAGGAAATTAAATTAACCCGGCGCCTTGGGGTTGCGATGCGATCGTACAACTACGATTGACATATCGCTATAAATTGGTTTAACTAGCTTAAATAGCACTTGTACATGTGGCGAGAGAGTACCCTCGTAGTGTGTTCACTTGGCTATAAAGGGCGACAGGTCGGGGAACTTGAAGTTGAGCGGCGGTCGTCGCTGGGCGTTGTGCGCGGGAGGCGCCAGCGCGCCGCACTGCGCGGTGCACACGTCGTCGCGCAGGACCGCCTCGCGCGGCCACTCGCGCGCCAACTGCGCGCAGTCGGTGATTCGCAGCGACGCGCACTGCGCCTGTCAGCAATATTACTTTTGAGATAATGTTGTCAAGCATAGGAACGGACACGAATTATCAGTTTGACTTGGTTTTATCCTCATACTCATTTCTGTCAACGAGTAGCAGAACGTCCACAGTTATGTTTCGGTTTGAAGGGTAAGATCTGCTATCTTACACTTCGGTTTGAAGGGTAAGATCTGCTATCTTACACTTCATAACTACATGCGGTAAGATTTCTTATACTCATACGATAAAAATGCCGCCGTCAGTTTTGACTGCTCTAATTTGTGGAACCGGTTAATTAAAATAATAAATAAATAAATCAAATTATTTATCTCATTTATGCATTTTGTACCCTTTACATCTTCGCTTAACGTTAAGGTAGATAACTACCAGACAATATCTAATGACATGAAGTTTTCCTTTTTGTACACATTATTTGTGCTTAGCTTGAATAAATAATTATATTATAATTTCTGTTTTGATACTCGTAAGTACCACAAATGTTATATGGAAGAGTAATTCCTTCTGACACAGGTGCAAATGCACTTAAAAAAATGAGGCAACCTATGTTCCAGATTTAAGAAAAACCTTGTGAAAGAAATATTTTTTTTATTATTTGTTATATATTATTATTATGTTATGGGTAAACTTTGGTACGGTCATAATTACTCACCCCTTCAGGAGAGCAGATGCATGATGTACACGGAGAGGGAAAAGCGGACTCGCCGACAGCAACTGATCGGCCCGCGATCATACAGCCTTGCGCCGAACTTTCTCTCCACGCTGACAAATCCAGCTTAGGCAATGATGAGCAAGGCACGCGGGGATTTCTAGAAATATCAATATATAATGGTAATTAATACATCACAAGAGCTAATATTTTGGATTTAAAAGTTATTTTTGTTTCTCTCAAGTATCAGAGACAGAAGTCGCGTGGCGCTGTCGTCGCGCCACCAGCGAAGACAACTGTTTCGGTTATGCACAAAATCGTCTCTAAAACTAGTAGTCAAAATACACTTCAATGGTTCTCCTTTTATTAAAATATCCCCTTGTATTTCTCAACCTTGACATTGGCAGAGAGTCATCGGTAAAACGATGGAGTCATTTTTCTTTTAAAATAAAAATAAGAAGAATAATTATCCGATATCGATTTAAGATTCGATTCATTGGCCTCGTATCGGCTTCAACAAATCTTTCCGTTCGCTCCTAAACAAACATCGTCTGCAGTATCCAGCTGCTGCAAGTCAGCCTAGTTTAACAAGGGTCATCGCATCATTGGAATAACGCTTCTTGAAGTATCAAGCTATGGACGGATTCAAAGTACTTCGATATATATAATAACTTATACCACTAAACGAAGCGCAGAGCACTGCCTTTAAAACCGGCCGCAAAACGAAACGGCTATTTTTCGAAGAAAACGTTGACCTTTGGTTTGTGAACTATTGTTGTATAACTATCAAATTTACTCTAGCACTACTTCAGTTATTTTAGTTTTGTAGTATTTTAATTACTAATATGAAGTTAGACCTTAACTTCTCATCCAAAATTTAATATCTATGATAATATGTGAAGTCCACAAAGCATTGGCGCGGTGTATAGGGTTGCCAGATCGGAAGACCAAAATATCTGGACAAAATTTGAAAATGTCGGGATTTTGGGGTTGTTGTCGGGAGAAATAAATGTTAAAACATAACATAATAAACAGTCACGCCTGTCACCCAGAGGGGTAGGCAGAGACTATGGACTTCCATTTGGCATGATCCTGACACACCTCTCTCGATTCCTCCACATTCATATACCTACGCATACACGCTCGTCGGTTAAAGGTACTCTTGATTTGGCCCATTTTCAATATATCGCCAATTTGGTCGATAAACTTTCACCTAAGGCAACCCTTCCCGACTCTGCCATTCACCTCTGCAACATAAATTTGCTTTGTCACTCTTTCCTCATTCATTCTTTCTACATGACCAAACCACCGAAGCATTCCTTTCTTAATCCTGGTCACAACATCATCTTGCAAACCACACTCTTCTCTTATTAAACAATTTTTCACTCTGTCATTCAGATTCATCCATAACATACTCCTAAATGACCGCATTTCTACAGCATTTATTCTACTCTCGTGCTTTTTATGCCACACCCAACTTTCCCTACCATACATTAAAGTAGGTACTAACACAGCATTGTGAATTGCCATACGTGCCTTTTTGGACACATTCTGACTTTTCACAATAGAGTGTAGAGCCCCATTCACTCTATTTCCTGCATTCACTCGTCGTTCTATATCCTTATCATATCTACCATCCCTGCTAAACACACATCCCAAATACATAAACTCATCTACTTGCTCTACCAACTCCCCTTCCATTCTTATTTCACATATCGTTTTACTTTCTTCTCTTTCAAAAACCATAACTTTCGTCTTACTTGCGTTCACTTTCATTCCCTTTTCTTTAAATGTCCTGTTCATTAATGTAACCATCATTTGCAACTCGGCTGCCGACGACGCAAGTATGACTTGATCATCGGTGTACAAAAGGCATTTGACGGTTAACTCACCCATTCTTAACCCGCATTCTTCTACTGTCAAATTTTCCAAACAACTGTCCATAAATAGGTTGAACAGCCACGGAGAAGCCATACAGCCCTGTCTGACACATTTATGGATGCCAAACCAGTCCGAGTAGGCCCCGTTGATCCTGACACAAGCACTAGAGTCCCTATATAGAGACTTCAATGCCTGTATCAAGCCAGCGCTCAACCCAGATGAGTTCAGTGTTTGCCATAACACATCCCTGTCCACTCTGTCATAAGCCTTCTCCAAGTCCATGAACGCACAAAAAACTTTTTGGTTTTTGGCCAAAAACTTCTCCGCGATCATGCGCATGGAAAAGACCTGATCCGTACATCCCATGCCCTTTCTAAATCCCGCTTGCACATCCCAAATTTTTCCATCAGTTTCTTTCATAACTCTTTCAATTAGTACCTTAGCATACAGTTTTCCCACAATGCTAAGAAGGCTGATACCACGGCAGTCCTGCTGTGATCCTTTTCCTTTATATATTGGGACTATCACGGCTTTGCACCAGTCTCCTGGTACCCGCTTAAGTTCCCAACATAAATTAAACAAGGTGTACAGCAGGTCTGCCACCACTCCTTCTCCAGCCCTTAGCATTTCGAGAGATACTCTATCATAACCGGCTGCCTTACCTGCGTTCATACTTTTCATTGCTTTCATTATTTCATCTATACTTATATCTTTATCTATTTCCTCTTCTTTCGGAATTTCTATTTCATTTAATTCAAACGTCTCATCACTCATAAACACGCTTTCAAAGTATTCCTTCCATTTCCTTAAACTCAAAACTTTGTTATTCAGAATACAGCCATTCTGGTCTCGTATAGCATTCATTCTAGGCTGTTTTGAATGTCCCCTGGTAGTTCTTACGAGTTTCCAGAACATTTTAATGTTTGCCTGGAAGTTATCTGATATTCTTCTATCATTCTTATCCGATCTTTCTTGCTTTTTCTTTTCAACTACTTCTTTTACTCTCTTATTTAGGTGTCTAAAGACTGCCTTTTTCCTTTCAATATCATCATTCATACTGCTAGAATTACTAGCCTTGGTTGCTAGTAAATCTAGCCATGCTTTCTTCTTTGCTTCAACTTCCATCCGTACCTCATCATCCCACCATAACGTGTTATTTTTCCTTTCATTCGTTCTCTTACTTACACCACATACTTCGGTAGCTGCATCCACTAAACCTTTCTTGACATTATACCACACAGTCTCCAAGTCTAAATCATTCATACACAATTCAGCTATAACACTTATATTTTCTCTCAATCTACATTTAAACTTCTCTTTCACACCTTCATCTTTTACCCTCTTTGTTCTTATACGCTGTAACGCAGTTGGTAGGCACAGATGTCCGATGCCTCCAACGTCTGAAAAGACCATTAATTCAGCATAAGACCAAGTAATACCACGTCCCTACGTTAGAGGCCTGGTAAATCCTTGTATCTACCACCGCGCTCCTCATTCTTTCATCAACAATTATGCAATCTATCATACTTCTATCATCACCTCTTTCCCATGTATACGTGTGAATCTTCTTATGACGAAAGAAAGTGTTCGTCACAAAAAGATTCTTTACCACGCATACGGCGAGAAGGCTTTCACCATTCTCATTTATACTTTCATCACCAAACGTTCCCAATATCCTTTCATAACCAAGCCTCCTCACCCCAACCCTTCCATTAAAATCGCCTAATATCACAATATTTTCATTAACCTTGCATTTCATTAGCACCATCCTTACCAACTCCCAAAACTGCTCTCGGATATAAGTGGGCTTAGACATGTCTGAGGCGTAGACCACTAAAACAAACAACTTCTTTAAGCCCACTTTCATTCGTATCCATAGCAGTCTCTGGCTTACACATTCATACTCTTTCACACAATGACCCATTCTTTCTGAAAGGATGATACCGACTTCCTGGCATGCCCGCTTGGTCTCGTCTACACCAGACCAGTACGCGGTATACATGCCATGTGTAGTGGCATCCTTTCCCTTCCGTTTCGTCTCATTTACACATAACACGTCTATTCCTCTATCATGCATCATATCGCATACTTCATCCATCTTATCATTCATTCCTCCACATACATTCAATGTAGCCAGACGGGCTTCCGCAATCCACTGTTAATGAAATGTTGTAAATGTTAAAAATAAAAATGTAAAACAAAAATATTATTTTTTAAATTAATGGGCTACAATACAAATATACTTAACATTGTTGACAGATAATTAATGTAACTACACTTAATTTTGAGGTTGCCACAGGTATTTGGCATTGGACTTTACTGAATCCACCAATTTGGATCCTTTAGTGGTATTCAGAAAAGATTTAAAATTTAAACAATTTTCCTCAAAGTTCATTCTAATTAGTAACCCAGCTTTTATTAAATCAATAGCCATACGATTTCTCTCTTTAGTATATAAAATATTTAGTAAACTTAATACCCTTTCACGATAAGCATTGCTTACAAGAATTGACAACATAAATGATATAATTTTTTTTAAATTTCATAATTTCGTGTTGGTTGCATTTCAAATTTAAATTATTAACATTTCGAGGAGCTGTTTGTCTGGAGATTTTGAGTTTTGTCGGGAGTCGGGAGATCATTTAAAATGTCGGGAGAATCCAGACGAATCCCGACCATCTGGCAACCCTAGCGGTGTAGTAGGCCGACTAACTGTTCTAATAATTAGCCCTCTACATAAATTCTTAAGCCTGTCACACAGAGGGTTAGGGAGGGACTACTACGGACTTCCGTTTGGCAGGACACCTTTCGCTTCTCTCTCATTCATATACTAGGTGGCGATTAGGTTAAATAACACAGTGGTAAATACAAGTTTATATATGTCTATTGAAATAATAAAATAAACAATTATACCAAAACTAAAAAATAAACATCTTCCAAAGAAAATAAATAGCGTAGAAATTGACACAAAATAAATATCCTTTATAATATTAGTTTACTGATCTGAAATGACCTGTAAAAACGGCAACGGTGCTGCAGGTGAGCAGTGCTCACGCAGCATCGACATAGGTAATTATTTCCCTACACTTTCTCATTCATAGATAATTAGACAAAAAACGAAAACTAGGGCTACCACGATTAGAATGTTGTTATATATTTTTTAGTTATGTAACGTTATATAGGATAAGTATTTCCATTTAATGTAATAACTTTATCGCCACCCCGTATATATATGTACCTACATGCTCGTTGGTTAAGGCTACTCATAATTTGGTCCATCTTCACTAATTTAAATTAGGTAAAACCTAGGAAATTGTCTATGCGTTTTAAGATTTGGAAAAGGCCTTAAAAGTTAATTGAGCAAGTGGATGAGCCCCGGACGCACAATACAGTTAAGTTTAACGAATCGCAATCGGTTAAAGTATCATAATTACAAAAGTATTTAATATCAGCGACAATAGGTTAGTGTAGAGCTTTAAGTGTGAAAGTCGTGGACATCTGTCGAATTTATAAATTTTGGTTTGGCCCCAGATGGTAAATCGCACTGTCTTAGCGTAACTAAAGCCTATTCACTCTTCTCTTGAAGACGCCCAGATTGTGTTCGGATGGAAAGACAGAAGCCGCAAATTATTCCACTCCTTTGCGGTACGCATTACAAAAGATTAAGCGAATCGTTTGGTTCTAATGCGTGAAATATCGACAACAAAGCGGTGAAGACCCTCGACTCGGTTGTACGATAATGGAAAGGAGAAAGAGGAATTAAAGTATGTACTTAATTCTTATAAATAGCGCACATTAATATCCTACTCACGCGAAGCTGAGGCGGATCTCAGTTATAAATAAACCACAAGTAATCACGAATTATAAAAACTATTTTTTGAACATTTTAACGAAGTTGTTTTTGGGCAAGGTCATAAATAGTCAATATTTTGTAATAAATAATTTTGGTAAAATAAATTTACAATATTTTTTGGGTTATGTTTTGTGTTGAATTTTTTGAATAAAAGGAAACAAAACAACTTACAAGAAGTTGCTCGGCAAATCGAAAGCAGCACGTTGAACGTCGCTTTGCACATCAAAGTTGTCACACATAATCTTCGACATCGTAACTTTACGGATTTCGGCCAGCTGTCGTTCTGTAAACTTCGCTGCTGGGTTGTCGTTTTCATACCTAATGATGAATAAATAAAAAGAAATGAAAAATAATTAAAAGACAGTGAAAGAGGCTTTTGCTTGGATATGAATTTTATAAAGATTTATACTACAATATCTTGAAATAAATACAACATTTACCAAAAATTAAAATACACGATGAATTATCGTATATCATTTATCGTCTAAAGTTCATTTCGAAAAAATCATACCATTTTAATATTAAAATGTACTGTTGTTGGTTTTAGCATCCCTCTAATCTTTATTAACGAATAACTCTATTTAAATAAATAGTTAAAATACGAGTATTCTTCTTGGGCAATTTTAATATTACAGAAAATCTCTTGTGGTCCCGAGTCAGATAGCGATTCTTCTGATGACTGGAACATCCCATACAATGCTAGAACACCATTTCTTCTCGGTGAGGACATATAAAGTTGACAATAGGACTTAAAGACAAAGAAGCGGACAAAAACTATATATCCTTAGTATTTTTCGATAAGAGATCGACCAGTCCGCTTTTCCCTGCATGTCCAGTCAACCCATACTATATTGTTTTGATTTTTTTCAGTTTATATAAGAGCCTATTTTTCATATTAATTATCTATTCTTTTTCTACCGACTTCAAAAACGAGACGATACTCAATTCGACTGTATGTTTTTTTTAATGTGTGTACCTCATAACTTTTTACTGGGTAAACCGATTTCGATGATTCTTTTCTTATTTGAAAGCTGGTGCTTCACATGTGGTTCCATATAAATTTGATCAAGGTCTGACCATTAGTTTTTGAGTTATTCTTAATAATTTGTATTGAAGTCGGTTGTATAAAAATTTTTAATTTTAAATTATCTCGAAAAAAGACAAAACAACGAATAAATATTATTTATTTCATTAATTTCATATTTCATGAAGTAGGATAAAGTATAAACGTTAAATTACATTAAGATATTCAGAGCAAAATAATTATATCTTAAATAAATTATAAATTAAAATGAATAAAGGTGTAACTAATACATACCAGAAGCGATCGCATTTTCTAAGCTGTCTGAACTGAATAGCAATGATGCACGCAAAAGTTGGTCCTACCAACCCTCCTTGCAACGGTCGCTCACTCATGCCTCCCGGGAACAGGTCAATGTCATCAACCGTCGGGTAGATCCTCTTCAATCTATAAACATAAAAAATTTACCATGTCTATTGTTGCAACAATTTAACATGAAATATTTTTTTTATAGGATAAGGGTGACAAACGGGCACACAGTCCACCTGATGGTAAGTGGTTGCTGTGGCCCAAAGACATCTACATCTATCTTCGATTACGAATCAAAATGCAGATGCGTTGCCACCCGTGAGGACTAAGATAGAATGCCTCGTTTCCAGTAAGAAGGGTCCCCGGTTGTCTACACTCGCCATACGTAACACAGCAGCGTTAAGCTGCTATTTTACGCTGGTATTCTGTGAGAGCGTGGTCCTTCCTCAGTTGAGCCGACCCATTCGTGCTACAACCATAATAGAATTGCAGCATAGCTCTACCACGTATAAAGTAAAATATAGTTTGTTTCTTTTGTATGAGGATGGTTTCATTTTAGTATAAATCCTAAACAGGTTTCAAAACCTAATCGAGATTTGTTTCCTTAATTAGACTAATTTCTGTCCTCTGATTTTTTTAAAATAAAACTAACTACAGGTTTATAAATTTGTATTATAAACCTGTAGTTAGTTAGTATTGTTGTACGTGGTAGATACATGCTGCAGCTATACTAGTAGTATAATTGTAGCACGAATGGGTCGGCTCGACCGGGGAAGGACCACGCTCTCACAGAATACCAGCGTAAAATAGCAGTTTAACACTGTTGTGTTTCGTATGGTGAGTGTAGAGAACCGGCGATCCTTTTTACTGGAAAAGAGGCATTCCATCTTAGTGATCACGGGTGACAACTGACAACGCATCTCTATTTTAATTCTTTATTGAGGATAGATGTAGATGTCTATGGATCACAGCAACCACTTACCATCGGGTGGAATGTGTGCCCGTTTGGCACCCTATCCTATAAAAAAAATATTGTTTGGGTGGAAATGAAAATATGTAAAGCACATTTTTAGCCGATTTACTGGCTTACAGTAGGACTTTATCTTTTATTAGTATATATGTTACGCGATATCTCCTTCTATTGTGAAACGATTTTGATGATTTCTTTTATTATATTTTATTATATAGAGTTGACGGCTCCGTGGCGTAGTGGCTTTGCAATGAGTTGCTACGCTGAGGGCCGCGGGTTCGAATCCCGCACGGAACAAGTATTTGTATGGCCTACAAATAATTGTTCCGGGTCTGGATGTTTGTATTTGTGCAATTTGTGTTTGTAAACTGCCTCCACGATATAGGAGAAAATCCTAGTGTGGGGGTAACGTTTTTTAAAAAAAATTATATATGTCTTCAGGGGGTATTTATTATCCAAAAAATATTATTGTTTTGGAGAATAAATTACATGCCTAAGAGCGGCAGGGAATAAAGTTTTTATTGTAACTATTTAGAGATATTACATAAAACATAAACATAAACACTCACGCCTGTCACCCAGAGGGGTAGGCAGAGACTACGGACTTCCATTTGGCGCGATCCTGACACACCTCTCTCGCCTCTTTTACATCCATATATCTACGCATACACGCTCGTCGGTTAAGGGTACTCCTAATCTGGCCCATTTTTAATGTATCGCCGATTTGGTCGATAAACCTTCGTCTAGGGCGTCCCTTCCCGACCCTGCCGTTCACTTCCGCAACATAAATTTGCTTTGTCACTCTTTCCTCGTTCATTCTTTCTACATGACCAAACCACCGAAGCATTCCTTTCTTAATCCTTGTCACAACGTCATCTTGCAAACCACACTTTTCTCTTATCAGACTATTTCTCACCCTGTCATTCAGATTTAGCCCTAGCATACTCCTTAAGGAACGCATTTCTACAGCTTTTATTCTACTCTCATGCTTCTTCTGCCAGACCCAACTTTCACTACCATACATTAAAGTAGGGACTAACACAGCATTATGAATTGCCATACGTGCCTTAGTTGACACATTCTGACTCCTCATAATAGCGTGTAGAGCCCCATTCACTCTATTTCCTGCGTTCACTCGTCGTTCTATATCCTTATCATATCTACCATCCCTGCTAAATAAACATCCCAAATATACAAACTCATCCACTTGCTCAATCAACTCCCCTTCTATTCTTATTTCACATAAAGTTTTACTTTCTTCTCTTTCAAAAACCATCACTTTCGTCTTACTTGCGTTCACTTTCATACCCCTTTCTTTCAATGACCAATTCATTAAAGTAACCATCATTTGCAACTCGGCCGCCGACGATGCAAATATGACTTGATCATCGGCGTACAAAAGGCATTTGACGGTTGACTCACCCATTCTCAACCCACATTCTTCAACTTTCAAAGTTTGCAAACAACCGTCCATAAATAAGTTAAACAGCCACGGGGAAGCCACACATCCCTGTCTGACACCTTTATGAATGCCAAACCAGTCCGAGTAGACCCCGTTGATCCTGACACAAGCACTAGAGTCCCTATAAAGAGATCTTAATGCCTGTATCAAGCCAGCGCTCAACCCAAATGAGTTCAGTGTTTGCCATAACACATTCCTGTCCACTCTGTCATAAGCCTTTTCCAAGTCCATGAACGCACAAAAAACTTTCTGGTTTTTAGCCAAAAACTTCTCCGCTATCATGCGCATGGAAAAGACTTGATCCGTACACCCCATCCCCTTTCTAAATCCAGCTTGCACATCCCAAATTTTTCCATCAGTTTCTTCCATAACTCTTTCAATTAACACCTTAGCATACAGTTTACCCACAATGCTAAGCAAGCTGATACCACGGTAGTTTTTACAGTCCTGCTGCGACCCCTTTCCCTTATATATTGGGACTATAACGGCTTTGCACCAGTCTTCCGGTACCCGTTTCAGTTCCCAACATAAATTAAACAAGGTGTGCAGCAGGCCTGTAACCACACCCTCACCAGCCCTCAGCATTTCGAGTGATACTCTATCATATCCGGCTGCCTTACCTGCTTTCATGCTTTTCATTGCTTTCATTATTTCATCTACACTTATCTCCCTACCTCTCTCCACTTCTTCCGGAATTTCTATTTCACTTATTCCAGACGACTCTTCACTCTTAAACACGCTTTCAAAGTATTCCTTCCATCTCTTTAAATTCGAAACTTCATCATTCAGCATGCAGCCATTCTCGTCTCGTATAGCATTCTAGTCGTTATCTTGAGCTTGTGATATTCAATTAAAACGGTCCACTCAAAAATGTAAAAAAATAAGTTTTAATAAAAAGTTTAAGCCGATTTTAAAGAACTAAAAATAATTAAATAATTTCACGTTCTGAAGGCAGAGCTTAAATTCTTTTTTGCACTGTGTCCTAGCACAAATTTCAGAATGTGAAATTATTTTTTTTTTAATTCGCCTTTACTTTTTATTTTTTTTACTCATATTATTCTTTTTTTATTTAAAAACTTGTATTAGCTACGAAAATTATTAACTTTGAATGTTATTGGAAAATAAATTAAGTTTTACTAAATCATGTATATATAAAACCTAATTGCTAGTATCACATTTTAGTTTCTACATGTTGTTGATGTAGACATGCTTAAGTATTATAATGAAAAAGCCAGTCCATTACGATTCCGCTGTTGAATATAGGCGATTCCCAGAGATCGTCGCAACTCGTAGGCCTGAACCGCATACATCGATTGATATCCCGCATGCGTTTTCAGGTCAGCATATAATATAGAATTACAAAATATATGCAAAGCAAAAGCTAATCTCCCAAACATACCTGGCAATTACTTCATCCGGTATTTCCCGTGACAAGTCTTCGAAAGTAGCCGCTCTCTTTAAATTGCAAAGAGCTCTGTAGTTATTGTAGCTCGGTATTCCGTGGTCTCTTGCTCGTTGGATGTTAAGAGCTATCAGATCGACTCCAGAGAAGGGAATACGACGATCTTCGAACAAATGGTTGGTAACTTCACCAGTGATAAACTGATCGAGGGTTTCCATAGGAGTAGAAGATAGACCGCGCATTAATTCATCTACCATTTGTGGGTGCTAAAACAGAATATTATGTTATTGGTATAAAAATTAAAATTAAACATTGTTACATCTATACATACAAATAAATAATATTTGTAGTATAGTTTATAATTGGAGTGTCTGTTTGTAATATCAAAATAACAGCTTTTAACTTAATGCATAGGAAAGTATATACGGTACTTATAACAAAAAAGAAATTTTTAAAATTTTTGTTTGTCTGTTTGTTTCGGCTAATCTCCGAAACGGCTGGATCGATTTTGACGGGACTTTCACTGATAGATTGCTGATGTTATAAGGAGTAACTTAGGCTACTTTATTTTTAGAAAACGAATTAGGGATCCGCGCAAAAAATTAAAATCCATGAAATCCAATAACAACGCGGGCGAAGTCGCGGGGAAGAGCTAGTTATATTATATAACAGCCTATCGAAAGTCCACTGCTGAAAATAGGCCTCCTGCATAGATTTCCTCAAAAGGGGGGATTTTTGCTGTAGTTTATTAGACGGCTCAGAACTCGCAGTTTGTAATTATTTTGAGTTGTTATCAGGAAGATGCTGGAGACTATCTCTTGTTTTATTTCCCTACTAGCCGTTCGCCGAGACTTCCCCCGCATGTACTTTAGGGATTTAATTATGTTGCGCGGAACCCTAATTATTTTTCTCAAATATGAATAGCCTAGGTTACTCCTTATAACATCAGCTATCTGCCAGTGAAAGTCTCGTACAAATCGGTCTAGCCGCTTCGGAGATTACCCGGAACAAACAGACAGACAGACAGACACACAAAAATTTAAAAAATTGTGTTTTTGGTATAAGTACCGTATATACTTTCATATACAATTTAGTAAAAAGCTATTATTTTGACATTACAAACAGACACTTCAATTTTATTTATTTGTATAGATGTCGCTCCACGGGAGGATATAGAATTATGGATGTTCTTAAACCGCTGCTACACGGTAAAATTATGTTACTGAAGAATTGTGTATATTATATTATGATGAAATATATAATAGCATAACTTCCGTAAACAGTCGGAAGTTTACTGTGCATCATTCATCATCATTACAGCCTTTCATAAGTCCACTGCTGAACATAGGCCTCCCCCAAGAAATGCCACAAAGCACGGTCCTGAGCCACCTGCATCCATCGACTTCCTGCATGTCTTACCAGGTCGTCACTCCATCTCGTGGGGGTCGCCCTACACTTCGCCGACCGGTACGAGGCTGCCACTCAAGAACCTTTCTTCCCCATCGGTTGTCGGTTCTTGGAGCTATATGGCCGGCCCACTGCCACTTCAGCTTACTTATCCGTTGGGCTATGTCGGTTACTCTGGTTCTACTGCGGATATCCTCATTCCTAAGTTTATCACGTAGAGAAACTCCGAGCATAGCCATCTCCATAGCTCGCTGAGCGACCTTGAGCTTCCTCATACGGCCAGCAGTGAAGGACCACGTCTCAGTTCCGTAAGTCATCACTGGCAACACGCACTGGTTGTACAATTTCGTTTTAAGGTTTTGAGGTATGTCTGACGAGAAGATGTGTCGTAGCTTCCCGAACGCTGCCCAGCCGAGTTGAATCCGTCGATTGACCTCTCGGTCGAAGTTGGACTTACCTAGTCGAACTATTTGTCCCAGGTTAACATAATCGTCAACAACTTCGAGCTTAGTGCTCCCAACGACTACCGGCATAGGTGTGACATGGACATTAAACATAATCTTTGTTTTGTCCATGTTCATCTTAAGACCTATACTTTGGGAAACACTATTGAGGTCATTGAGCATAGTGCTTAGGTCCTCTAGCGATTCTGCCATAAGGACTATATCGTCGGCAAATCGAAGGTGACTGATGTACTCGCCATTGATGTTGATACCGTATCCTTTCCAGTCCAGAAGCTTGAAAACGTCTTCCAATGCAACGGTGAAGAGTTTCGGGGATATAACATCACCCTGTCTTACACCTCTCTGCAATTACATAGGTTTCGTACTCTGGTTCTGTACTCGAATAGCCATCGTAGCCCTACTGTACAAGCACTTCAACACTTCGATATACCGACAGTCAACTTGGCACCGCTGAAGGGACTGCAGCACCGCCCAAATTTCGACGGAATCAAAGGCTTTCTCATAGTCCACATACGCCAGATATAGTGGCAAATTGTACTCTTCGGACTTCTGTACAACTTGCCGAAGGGTATGTATGTGGTCTATGGTGCTAAAGCCCTTTCGGAAACCGGCTTGTTCGGGAGGCTGGAAGTCGTCAAGTCTGCGCGCGAGACGATTCGTAATGACTCTCGAAAACAGCACGTAGACGCGGCTCAGAAGGGAAATCGGTCTGTAGTTCTTCAAGAGAGCGTTGTCACCTTTCTTGAAGAACAAGACCACCGCACTTCTGCTCCACGCCTCCGGTGTAATGCCACCATGGAGGACGGAATTAAAGAGCTTCTGAAGGACTTCAAGTACCGGTCTTCCACCCGCTTTCAGAAGCTCCGCTGTAATTCCATCCTCGCCTGGGGCCTTACCGTTTTTAAGGTGCTGGAGAGCCATCCTAATCTCGCTCAGACTGACATCCGGGATATCTTCGGAATAGTGTCGGATGAGACTCGCTCTTGGATTGTTACTCACACTTGCGTGTGGCTCCAACGATGATGTGTACAGCTGCCCATAGAACCTCTCAATCTCACTCAAAATCTCAGGTGTCCCGGAAACGATGCTGCCACATTCTGTCTTCAGCTTTGACAGTTGGCTCTTTCTGGCAGACAGATCTCTGGCAAAGACTTTGGAGCCTTGGTTCCGCTCGATCGCTTCTTCAATACGAGCTGTATTGAAGTTGCGTAAGTCCCGCCGCATGCATTTGGAGATCTGTCTGTTCAGATGCCTGTATGCTGTCAAGTCTGTTGAAGAATGTAGCTTCATCTCCCGTCTAACAGCCATGAGATTAAGAGTGTGATCGGAGAGTTTTTGTGTTCTTCTGCGGCGGGTCTTGCAGAACTTAGCTCCAACCGCATGGACAGTTTCCACGAGCTTGTCATTCAAATCGTCCACTTCATTGCAGTCTTCTAGGCACTGAAAACGGTTTTGTAACTCGAGCTGAAAGGTTTCGGGACTTTGAAACAGAGCACGAGGGGGACGGAGCGTTGACTTCATTAGACGAGACCTCTCCAACTTAACGTTTAGGTTCAGTGTGCCTCTAACCATTCGGTGATCGCTACCAGTTTTCACCCTCGCGATCACGGAGACATCACTGAACAGTTGTCGTCTGGTCGTCATAATGAAGTCAATCTCATTTTTTGTGGAACCGTCGGGGCTCGACCAGGTCCACTTCCTGTGGGGCCGCTTCTGGAAGAAAGAGTTCATCATAAAGAGTCCCTCTTTCTCCATGAAGTCGGCCAGCTGCTGGCCCCTTGGGTTCCGTTGCCCTATTCCAAATTTCTCTCATCATTGGGGGGTATTTGCCATAGTTGCCACGCTTGGCGAGCGGGTTGGCAACCGCAGTTTTTTTATTGTCATTTGGCTATTATCAGGAAGATGCTGCTGCCCATCTCCTGGCTGTTTCCCTTTGTCGCCTTTTACGACACCCACGGGAGGATATGGGGTAGTGGATATTCTTGACCGCCACTACACGGAATCATTCTTGTGCACACGGATTCATTCACATCATTACTGTGCAAGTAGGAAGAAACTCGTCGCGGCAACTACCGTAAAGGACAGAGCAACGATTGTCGGGTCAGCCAATTATCTATACATATAAATAAAATTGAAGGATCTGTTTGTAATGTTAAAATACAGCTTTTAACTAAATGCACATGAAAGTATATACGATACTTATAACAAAAACACAGATTTTAAAATTTTTTTCTGTCTGTCTGTTTGTTCCGGCTAATCTCCGAAACGGCTCGACCGATTTTGACGGGATTTTCACTGGCAGATAGCTAATGTTATAAAGAGTAACTTAGGTTACTTTTATTTAAGAAGAAGAATTAGGGTTCTGCGCGAAAAAAATTAAAACACACGAAATCCATCGTAATAAATTCCACGCGGACGAAGTCACGGGGGACAGCTAGTTATAATATAAAATATATATACACAATGAAAAACCAAGAATTTTTGTTATATGTACAAAAGATAGCAGCGAAAAAATTGATAACTGCATAATTGTTTACTAATTTGGCATTTTGTAGTAAATTTCGTTTCATATCTCTTTTAGCATTGAAAATCTAAAAGAAATATGTAATCTTTGCTTAAGACAAAAATCAATGTTTCATGTTCTGTAGACCTCTGTCTATGAAAACTGCGATAGCGATTAAATAAAGTAACAAATTAAGTTATGAAGTTAATATTTATATAGGAATTTAATATCTATGTATTTAATGCTTCTATTTAAAGTTTCAAACTAAACTTACACTCATGAACATATCGGGCTTGAAGAAACCGTCACGCAGCAGTATGGGCGGCTCGACGGGCTGGAAGTTGGGCGACAAGCGGGGCAGGTGCGGTCGCAGCAGTGAGTGCCCGAAACGGAATGCGGCCGACGCGAATTCAGATACTATTGCCGGGTTGCAAGTTGGCGAATACTCCTTGTAGTAACCTGGAACAAATATAGTATTTTTAAATTTTGTTGTAGTGATAAATTTTTAGCTTCTTTGGGATTAATTTTGGGTAGTAAAATTTACACTCATAATCTATACAAATAAATAAAATTGAAGTGTCTGTTTGTAATGTCAAAATAACAGTTTTTACTAAATGCATATGAAAGTATATACGGTACTTATAAGAAAATTACAATTTTAAAAAAAATATTCCGTCTGTTTGTTCCGGGTAATCTCCGCAACGGCCGGGCCAATTTTGACGGGACTTCCACTGGCAGATAGCTGATGTTATAAATAGTAACTTAGGTTACTTTTATTTTAGAAAAATAATTATTGTTCCCCGCGCAAGAAAATGAAAACGCATGAAATCCAATCGTAATAAATTCTGTAAAAATAAAATTGAAGTATCTGTCTGTAATATCGAAATAACTGCCTTCTATTGAACTCTGAGGGTTATTTGCGTGCTATTAAAAGACACGAATAACACAAATAGGGGAAAAGTTAGTAAGTAAATATATATGATGTTGGGCGTAGTAAGTTAGGTAGAGTTTACATAAACTTGGGAGTAAAAGCTGTCCATTCGGAGCTGAGATTAGCATACGATTACTAAATCAGTACATTGTCATCATACTGGTTTCCTGAATTCTAGAAACCTTTCGTTCTCCATTACAATTCGTTTAATTCAATTCAAAGTACAAGGGGAAGGACCACTCTCTCACAGAATACCAGCATAAAATAGCAGCTTAACACTGCTGTGTTTCGATGGTGAGTGTACAGAACTGCAGACCCTTTTTACTGGAAAAGAGGCATTCCATCTTATTCCTCACGGCTGACAACGCATCTGCATTTTGATTCTTTATTGAGGATAGATGTAGATATCTATGCGTCACACCGACCACTTATCATCAGGTGGACTGTGTACTCGTTTGTCACACATCTAGTAATAAGGATGCTTAAAGATCACACGTTAATATACATAATTAGTATTTAAAAATACCTGAAGGTAGCAACTTCAATCCATAGAGATTGACGGCATTCCAGGAAAGCAATCTTGGCAGGAACTCGTTGTAGATGATATGCGTGAATTCAGCAGCAAGGATGCGTCGCGTGTGTTCAAACAGTAGCTCCGCGTCCCAATGAGGGTTTACTCCTCTTAGGCCTTCCACCAGCCGGTTGTGTTCACGGAGGAAGATCGTGTGGATTGCAGTAAGACCCGGCTGTTCTGACGCTCTGCCATCACCTAAACGAGACAGATTAACAGTTAAATTACACGTACTTATTCTTTAGCCATTATCGTAATACTAATTTATTTTTATATGTGGTAGAGTCAATCTGTAGTCAGTTATGGTTGTAGCATGAATGGATCTTCTCCGCCGGGGAAGGACCACGTTCTCACAGAGTACCGGCATAAATAGCAGATTAATGCTGTTGTATTTTGTATGATGAGTGTATTGATTCCAAAGAATCTGCATTTTGATTGTTTAGATGTAGATTTATACGGGCCACAGTATCTACCTATGATCAGATTTATACTCTTAATCTATAAAAAATCTTTTGGTATATTTGGGAGGAGGTATATTGGATGATATTTTGCTGGAATTTCAGACAGTCGCCTCTTACAATACCCTCGTTACAAAATTAAGTGTGTTACACTCTCACTATACAATTATATTATATATTAATATTATATACAAAGGCAATCTAATCAGAATTTTTGTAGAAAGAGCTAGAAAGATTTTAAGGCTTTCAGAAGATGGCGGTAAAATCCCAATTACACCAGACCAGATATCCATAGTTTGGACATTAGGATGAATGAATGAAGAAAGAGTGACAAAGCCAATTTATTCTGCAGAAGTGAATCACTTTCTTCTAAATGTGATTAATAGAACAAATTGGCGATATACTAAAAAGGGGTCAAATTAAGAGTACTCTTAATCGATGAGCAGTCTTCTGGCGTGAGAGTTTATGTTAGGTTATTACATATAACCTAACATATCCAGGCCAGCGACGGGCAGCAGTGTTAATGGTGCGGGACGTGGATTTATGGGAATGCGATCATCAATCACCTGCCAGGCATGACGATCATGGCAAATTATTCCTACCACGAGAGAGGCCCATCTTTTTTTTTACCTGATGGTAAGTGGTTGCTGTGGCCCATAGACATCTACATCTATCCTCGTTTGCGAATGAAAATGCAGATGCGTTGTCACCCGTGAGGACTAAGATGGAATACCTCTTTTCCAGTAAAAAGGATCTCCGGTTCTCTACACTCACCATACGAAACACAGCAGTGTAAAGCTGCTATTTTATGCTGGTATTCTGTGAGAGCGTGGTTCTTCCCCGGTCGAGCCAACCTACTCGTGCTACTACTAATATAGCTGCAGCATGGCTCTACCACGTATAATATCCACTTGCAGTGGACTTTCGCAGGTTGAAGATAACGAAGAAGAAGAATCAGAATAAATGTATATTACAAATCTTTTTAACAGTGGTAGAGCCATGCGACAGCTTTTGCTGTCGCACGGATGGGCCGGCTCGAACTGGGGTGGTACCACGACCTCATAGAAAACCAGCGTGAAGTAGAGGTTTGCGTCTGCGTTTCGCTTGGTGAGTGCAGGTGGCCGGAGGCCCTTTTTACTGGAAATGAGGCATTCCATCTTAGTCCTCACGGGTGACAACGCATCTACATTTTGATTTGTAATAGAGGATAGATGTAGATGTCTATGGGCAGCAGCAACCATTTACCATCAGGTGGACTGTGTGCTCGTTTGTCTCCCTTATCCTATAAAAAAAAACCAACCATTTTTATTGTATAAGCGTAAGCGGGAATAACAAACGAACGAGATTGATTGTGTCTGTCTGATGGCGGAAAATAATATATCCAAAATATGCTGAATGGAAATCTACCGGCAATGGGAAGCAAAGATAATAAGTAGGTAGAACACCATTTTTGTCTATCGCCCAATCATATTGTACCACACTATTACCTATTTTTGTCGCTAAATATTAGTGCTCACGATGATCTTTTTCGATATAAAGAGTATATCGGAAAAGATCATCATAGAGCTGATATATTTGCAGGCTTTGAGAAATTTCATCATATTAGTCTTCAGAGATGACGATCTCTAGTTTTGTTCGTTAGAATTTAGTTCCAGGTTTCTATGGACTGTTGTAGCCACTAGCCATCAGGTAGACTGTATATTTGTTTATCATTTCAGTTTTATAATCCTAGTACGAGAGTAACGGCACCACGCTCACCAAACCACTGTTCAGTTTAGTACGAGAAAACCAAAAATCATTTTGCCACTTTTGACGTATTCTTGGAAAGTCTTATATACTCTAAAGGATTCTCCCATTAAGATATGTAAATAAATATAAACAGAAAATAGAAAAGAGTATCTCACCAGCAATGAAACAAAATCCGCTAGGCGCCTTGCACTCTGGATGGTTGTCGGAACGCGGCAGTAAATCGCGTCCGTTGAGCGGGTGCGCCGTAGCGTTCAGACGCCCATTGAAACCTCGCAGCTTGCGCACTATACACGGGTTCTCCCCGTATATTACGGATGCGTCGATAAATGCCGTGTTCTGATTTACTTGCTCGCGTGGACCTATTAATTTCATAACAGTTATTGTCTCTTATCCGATTATAAATCCAAATATTTATATTAGTTTTGAATTTAGAATCCGAATTCCAGCCTGTAAATTACTTACATCTAACATTAATAGACCCAGAAAAAAGTTTCTAGTCAAAGAAAAGATAAGCATGAACAGTTGATATTGATCAGGAGGTCATCTTATACAGGGTTATTTTGCAGAGAAGGTTCAGAATAGGCAAATGGTGAAGAAAAATTAATTAAGAAAAATCTCAATAATTCTGTCCTTTTTATCTTTTAAATTAAAAATGCGTGAAATGAACACATTCGTAAGGGTTGATCGGTAGGCAAAAACGTTGATGCACATAAATCACATCAAATTTGGGATAATTTCAAATAAAAGTAGAAGTCTTATTTACTCGTATTTTAAAAACTGCAATAACGGTATATCATTATTTATTTATATATTTAAATTTAAGTTTCAAATTTGGCAAAATAACCCTGTATATTATTCAAGCAATTACATATACATACAGTACCTAAATGCTGCTGTCCAGGCAAACTTCTCATGAAAGGGAAACACAGCCGTTCTCCTGAGGTAATGTTAACTTCAGGGTAGTAGTGGTCTCCCCTTGGCACGGGGAAGGGATTACATTCCGGGTGAACGGTGCGTGGAGAGTCACAAGAGCGGCAATCCGGGATAGATTCGTGGAAACCTATAAGAATAATTAAGATTAAATATATTATAGTTATAGTAATCGTATTCTAAAGAATTTTTATTTTTTAAATACACGAAACTATTTTTATTACTTATAATTTTGGGGATGAAACGATGATAAACGAGCACGTAGTCACACGAAACACTGCAGTATTGACGCCTCCGTGGCGTAGTGGCTTAGCAATGAGTTTCGGCGTTGAGAGCCGCAGGTCTGAATCCCATACGGAAAAAGTATTTGTGTGTTCTACAAATAATTGTTTAGAGTCTGGATGTTTGTCCTTGTAAAATTTATGTATGTAATGATACACAAGAAAATCCTAGTGTTATTACGTTATTTAAAATTAAATAAAAAAGTATTATTCCACTATTACACGCTGGTATTTTATGTGAGTATGGTCTTTCAAGACAGGTCAGGTCGGGTCAGATCGGGTCAAGTCGAGTCAGGTCAGATCAGGGCGAACCGACTATCCTACTGCAGGTATAATACACAGTTAGTAGCGTGGCTCTGCCGCGTTAAAATCCAAAAAGTAATGCAATTAGAATAAATTACCTTTATGAATTGGTGTCATAGTTAGCTCGTGGTCAAGGAATTGTGCGAACTGCATGACCATAAGCGTATACCGCGTGTGTAGATTGGAGATATCAGGATGAATGACAGTGGATATTACACGTGGAGATGGCAGCGGTGTTCCTGTTACTGAATTGATGCGCGGTCTGCTAACGCCTAGGTTGAAAAAGAAAATAAAAAAATAAAATGCAGAATAGTGTTAATCATATTACGATCTCATTAATGACATTCTTTATAAATAATAATTTACCATCTTCGTACACCGGTGGCAGTAATCTAGCGAAGGTAGTCAAACTTTTACCCAAGTTAGGGTTTCGCAAATTATTGCAGTAGCCGGTATATGTTCTGAAGGGGCTATTGGCATCACAGCTGCCAATATCATCGCATTGGGGCTCGATGGTGGGTCCAAACTGGTCTTGACTCACGAAACTGCTCACATCTACAGATTGAAGGGAGTCTACGAAATCGTTGGAGGCGAAGCTGAGTGAGTCATCAAAGACCTGTCGTTTACGACGGTGACTGAAATAAATATTTGCTTATAAAAGAAATTTCTTAAAGATAAAGAAAAAATAATAATATTTTATAAATACGGATTTTTTATTTTTTTGGTTTTTATTGTTGTCAAATTGTATGGTCAATATTTTCAATCCAAAATCATATTTAACTTATTGTGACAAACAATATCAACTTAATGAATGTCAGCGTTGTTAGCGATTCCTTTATAAAAATCTTACCTCGTGTTGACGGAATTCAAAAGTTCATTTGTTGCGAATTCTAAGAAAAGAGAAGTGTTGGCGAGTTTCAACGCATATTTGTTAGCTTTCGAGAAGGATGCTGCTGTTCCAACTGGAGACTTCGGATCAGCGCCACCACCTTCAACATAAAAACAAGTTGTAAGAGAAAACAATAAACAGATCTTTAAGTATCTGTAAGTTACCTAATACAAATTAATATGTTTTGTTATATTTTTTAAATTAATAGTTATGTCGAATGTGTGAATTAGGTAATCACAAATTAGGTTCCACCTTCATCGCAGTATTATTTGAATAAAATAAATTCAGAGATTCAAAAAAAAAAATTAAAATGATGCGGTACTTTTTAATTTTTTTTAAACTCGTGTAAATCAACTTAAAATGATTTTGTTTTTGTACAATAATTTTATTAAGAAAATTGAACAAATGGTCAAGGATTGTGTGAAGACAAAAACGCAAATCATAACTCGATAAAAAATCATAAAGATGATATTAAATCGCTATTTAGACAGGTATCTTGAAGAGATACCATAATGAAACTATGTAAAACCAATATCAAATAAAAAGGCTTATTATTTTTTGTGTTTTGTGTGAACACTTTAAAAAAAAACGATCAGTTCAAGCGCTCGCGGTCACCTCGACCTGCTACGGTCAGTGCCCGCCGACACATTTTTGAGGTTGGACTTACAATGTTTTTCCCGACGTTTACAGACTTACATACCGTATGTGAAGACCTTAAATACCAGTGTCATCTTTCAATCAAAATTATGTATCAACCACATTTATAATACAAATATACTAACGTGATTCCCAGAGCATATATTCTAGTTTTTTTCTATCGGCCATTTCGTGCTTCGCTTTTTCGAGTGCAGCTGCAAGCATGTCCTGCGATAACCTTTCTGCCGCTTTAGCACCGGTCTCATCACGCCACGCGTTCAGTTCTAAACGGCTGTGCTGGGAGCAGTGTTGTGCTGCATTCCTAAAAACATTTTATGTACTTCATTGCATTTATTTAAATATCAATAATCTAAATAAATAGAAAAAAGTAGTTAAGTATATAACACACAATACAGCACAATACGTAGGTCACTCAATAAGTTTTGAGATGGTCGAAATTTAAAAATGGAACGCACCCGTGTTATATGTTTCTTAAAAGCAAATTTATTTAAAAATAGAACTCCATAAGCCAATTGCTCAATATTAAAAGAAAAACAAAGTTCTATTAATTTTCCTCGAACGCTTCCCGCGCTATTCATTTGAAACGATAGACCTTAACCGTGAACATTTGCGCTCTATGATATATTATGATTTTAAATTTGGTTTAACCGAACAATTAAGTTTACAACGATTACAATCAGCATTAGGGGACTCTGCTCCATCACGCGCAACAATTTTTAGGTGGTTTGCTGAATTCAAAAGGGGTAAAATTAATCTTAAAGTTGACCAAAGAACCGGGGCCCCGCAAACAGCAGTAACGGCAGAAAATGTATGGACTACTGAAACGTTGGTGCGAGAAGACCCACGAACACATGTACGGAAATCAAAAAGATTGTAGTCATTAGTTCGGGGAGCATTCATACCATCCTAAATCAACATCCTGGAGTGAGGAAGCTTCGTTGTCGATGGATCCCTCGTTTGCTCTCCGAAAGCGAAAACGGGGCATTTAGGCGTGTTTCAGAAATCGTTACCGGTGACGAGACATGGATCTATCAATATGATCCGGAAAATAGAAGGCAATCATCGGTATGGGTCTACTCAGAAGGACAGTTACCGACAAAACTGCAAAGACCTCGTAACGTCAGCAAAAAAATGGTGGCTAATTTTTTTTCTAGACATTCGTCGACGTCAATGCTGGAAAATTGTAGGTCAGTCAACTTTGAATGGTATACTAGAATTGCATTATCCAAAGCTTTTCAAGCTGTGCGGGAGAGAAAACCAAAGACCGGGCTTCGGGGAATCATGCTGCATCACGATAACGCCTCTTCACATACCTCCCTTAGAACAAAAGAATTTATTGAGGAATCTGGTGCTGAAACTCTAAGTAACCCAACCTACAGCCCTGATTTAGCTCCTTGCGATTTCTTTTTGTTCCCAAGAGTCAAAGAAAAATAAAAGGCAAGTTTTTTTCAAGCGCCGAAGAAGCCATTTCCGACCTGTCAGATAAAGACTGGCAAAAGTGTTTTCAGAGTTGGTTTAGGCGAATGTAACTTTGTATAGAGCATGATGGAGAATATTTTCAAAAGATGTAAAATAAATATTAATAGTATCTAGAATACTTTTTGTATATCTCAAAAATTATTGAGTGTCCTACGTATAACAACATAATGTGCAAGTGGGGCTTAAAATAAAAGGTCGGGGAAAAAGTTTCTTCGTAATTTATGTACAAATTCAAGACATTTTTTTTTCAAAGTTTGATTACATTTAATTATAATATATGTGTTGACATTTTACTCTATAACATGTTGCTATTTTGTAGGTAGTGACATAAGCCCGTTGCTGTAGTCTTCTAAATCTTGGGATTTTTTATCAAAAAAATGGGACAAGTAGTTTTGATAGTCCTATCTTGATGTTAACCTAATACTACCCAAAGAATTCTGAAGAGACTGAAACTTGACTGAAACAGATGAAAATCTGAGGGTGCAAGGGTCAGGACTACACGGTGGATGCATTAACACTTCCCAACCAAGCTCTCTCAATTTTTGCTGAGTGGTCAAACATGTGTGTGGTCTGGCGTTATTATGATGAAAGACCACTCCTTTTCTGTTGATATATTCAGGCCGTGTTTACTCAACTTCTTGCTTGAGTCTCATTAGTTGTTGGCAGTAGAGATCCGAATCGATTGTTTTGCCCGGCGGTAAAAGCTAATAAACATAATAAACGATGCCCTTCCAATCCCACCATATATACAACATCACCTTATTGCATGTTAACCTGGGTTTCACTACAGTTTCACTACATCTTTTTTGCACGTTCTTGTCGTAGGTAATCCTCTTGTCATCACCAATGATCAATCTTTTCAACAATGTTTCGGTTTCATTACGTTTCAATAGAGAATCGCAAATTAGTACACGATTCATTAGGTTTCTTTCAGTGAGCTCGTGTGGTACGAGTATCAAAATATCAAACTTTTTTGTACAGCCAGACTTTTTCAAATGGGTCAATACTGTTTTGTGGTCAATCCTCAACTCCTCGGCATCGACTATCATTTGTGCGGACAGAAAAACAATTGAAAAATGGTGGGAATGTGTTTTTTACTTTTTATTTTTTTGTTTATTAATGTCCTATATGTATTGATATTAAAAACCAGTCAGATACAAACAGTACAACCTAAGAGATTTTTTTTAAATTTTATACTAACAAAATACGAAGAAACTTTTCCCCGACCGATTGTAAACTGTAGCTAAATCATGAAAATTTTATTATTTAAATTACATGTAAAAAAATTTAACACAAAAAATTATCACTCTTTATGTATTTATCTCAATATTTAAATTATATAAGTCTCAAGTAAGTTAAAAAAGCATTGCTTTAAAACCAGATGTAAAGAACTTCGCAAGGCATATTATATTGAACATTTTTTAATGTAATTAGGTCTCATTACTCGAATTATTATCAGTTGTTTGTTTTGTGAGTGTGTTGGGGGCAAATGTGAGAAAGGCTGGAATGACTACTTAGCCTGGGGTGGTTTTGATATTAGTTAAAGGTGGTCTGAAGTAGCTTCATACAGACCATATTCACCAAAGGAATGATTTTTGATTCTAATTTTGGTTAGAAATTTGGGAGTGCAAATTGTAGATGTGACTTGTTTATCAAAAGAGGTAAATTTAATAAAAATTAAAGTCTTGATGGTATTTGGGCCTGGAGATATTCCTTGACCCAAGAATTCTTTAAATCAATTTGTGCTAGTGACAGATCTTGAGAGTAATTTATCATATGAGAAGTACAGCCTGTTTATTTCTCTCTATGTCTATGGCCAGCCCATTACAACATCAGCTAATTGAACCGATGTGTTATGTCGCTTACGCTGGTTAAGCTTATCTAGTCGGACAATTTGAGGAGGATTGAGGAGAGCATACTCGTCACTAACTTTGAACGTAGTGCTTCCAACAACTACCGGCGTAGGAGTGAATTGGACGTTTTCCCAATGTTTATCTTAAGACCTATCCCTTGGCAGACACTATTAAGGTCACTGAGAATAGTACTGAGGACTTCCACGATTTTCCATAATGCCTATTATCGGCAGCAAATCGAAGGTTAATGCTGTACTTGTTGTTGTACTATAAATTTTTCCAGCCCGGTAGCTTGAAAACGTCTTCCAATGCAGCGGCGAAAGTTTCGAGGGTATAACGTCACTCTGTCTTACGCCTCTCTGCAGTTGGATAAGTTTCGTACTTTGGTTCTGTACTCGAATAGCCATCGTATCTCTACTGTTCAAATACCTTGGCCTCTCGACATACCGACGGTCAATCTGGGATCGCTGAGAGCACCGCTCAAATTTCGTCAGAATCAAAGGTTTTTTCATAGCCAACAAAGTGGTAAATTGTACTCTTCGGTTTTTCGTAAAATTTGCTGAAGGGTCTATGATGGTACTAACACATTTTTTTGAAACCGGCTTGTTGTTTGACTTTATTAAATAACGAATTACGAGAAATGATTAAAGTAATTGAATGTACTTATTAATGAAACTTACAAGTAAGGATCTTCTTTGACAAAGGCTTTGGGTTGAATATTGCCAAGCTTTTCTTCAGCGCCACATAAAAGACCAGCGAGTGAAACTTTTCGGATAGCTCCCAACTGCTCGGGGGAGAACGAGGAAGGAGGGATGTCGTTTTCATACCAGAATCTGTAAAATTATACTGTATTTATCATATTTTTTCAATTCGTATTACACTAAGATATAAAATTACCTAAAGCCAAATTAACTAAATTGTCTATTATTTTTGTTATTTCTTACCTATCACTCTTTTTCAAATTCGCAAATTGTAGAGCCAAAACACATGCGAAGGTTGAACCAACTACTGCTCCAGATGCTGGTTTTTCCATAGCGCCTCCAATCATTAGCTCCACGTCTTCAACGTTCCTGTAAACATTAAACAATTGTAAGGATGAATCTGAACAGTTTCTTTGTTATGAGTTTATTAATCATTTGTTATTAGTTATTATAGACTATTGTAGATGTCACAAAAATACGGGAGAAGCAAAATGAATCCCAAAAATTATCTACTTTTACTAATAGATTATATTTACTGAGATGCTTTGAAGACAATTTTAATTCCGTAGTTATTAATGATAAGTAAAGTAAAAAGTAAAGTTATAGCCTGCATACGTCCCATTGGTAGGTATAGGAACTACTCTAGTGTCAGTAAGCGTTACAGACCAATTAGTGGCCACGCTGCTCGTGCGTGTTGTGTCCACACACTTCACATGTCCTCGAAATAAGTTTCCTCAGATAGACAGGTGATCATCAACGATGTTTTCTTATACCTTTTGCATTTGCTGTCATTTTCATTGTCATTGCAACATGCTGGCGAGCACTGAACTCGGGTTTATAATTGATGATCATGATTATATTAGGTTCTAGAGACAAAATCACATACAGTGATCGTCAGGCGTTCCCCGGCGCGCCTAACTTTCCCACTTCTAATAAGGATATTATGAAATAGTGGACAAAGTGTAAAAGGAATTACCGAATACAAATTTTTTGTGGCAATTTGTGACTTTTATTATTCCACTTTCTGTAGAGTCAAGTTAGTACAACATTAAATATCTAACAGAACAATATTATATTGCTTAACAACATTTATCAACATTTGTAACTGCGATGTGATTTAAACACGCCGTTTTCTGATGACTGATATTAAATTAATTGCTATAATAATAGTATATATTTTAGTATTTAGGTAAAAATAATTATTATACCTGTACATGTCAGCCATCATTTCTTGTTGTGCTCTGTTAAATCCGAGCTTTTCGAAGTCTGCATATGATTTCACATTAAGCATAGGGTCACAAAGTCGGAGGGCTTTTAAGTAAGATGCAACTCCGTGGTCACGGGAACGGTTCAAATCCCACTGTGATGAAGGTGGGAATTTCGATACTTTATATGCGCTTGTCTTCACCAAATCCATTACAGATACCGTTTCATTGATCTGTAATAATAATACACATTCCAATAATGATTTTGTTGTTTACGTTTGAGATTTTCACCTTAAAATAATTATAAGTCTTTTTATTGAATTAAACTTTTATACTAATGTACTTGAATTCATCCTATGATTTGCCAATTTATCTAATGTTTAGACCTTATGTAGAAACAATAGACAGTTTGAAGGCCTTTCTTGTATTGTTAAGGTTTAAAAATATATGATGATGATTCCTAGGTAACTATAACCTTTTAGCACCTTAAGCATTTATTATTTACATCTTATTAAAATCTTGTCTTCTTTTAATTACGGTTTATTTATTGTTTTAAGTTTTCCGTGCTATTATTATAGAATTATCACGTTGTCTATTTTTCTGTTTGTATGACAGTGTTTAACGTGAGGTTAAAAATTCCAATTTTCTACTGAGGGGGTAAAACAGAAGTTGAATAGTTTTTAAACATAATTATTAATGTTAAATACAGACTCTTCTTAACAATTTTTAAATAATTTTTGAAGTAACAACGGATATCTAAACTGAAGTGCCGGTCATAAAACACAGGCCTGTTGGTCTAGTGGTTAGTGACCCTGACTGCTATGCCGGAGGTCGTGGGTTCGATTCCCACCCAGGACAAATGTTTGTGTGATGAACGCGATCATTTGTTCTGTGTCTGGGTGTAATTTATCTATAATATTTATGTATTTAGAAATATATAAGTATGTTTATCAGTTGTCTAGTACCCATAACACAAGCTCTGCTTAGCTTGGGACTAGATGGCGTTGTGTGATAGTTGTGGAATATTATATTATATTATATAAAACTGCAAGAACCGACAAACGATGGAGATGATAGGTTGAGTGGTAGCCTCATTCTGGTATGCGAAGTGTAGGGCAGCCATCTATCTCATCTTGTGGGAGATCTATGTTTTTCGATGGACTTGTGATGAACTGTAATGATGACAAGTATGAAGAAATACTTTTTTTACCTATCACTAAAATTAAACTAAGAAAAGTGACATTAAACAAAGGATATGTCTTTATGAAGATATTTTTAAACTTACCAGTTTTTCATGCATCATTGCACTAAATATAGGAGCGACTGAGATCAGTTCAGCGTATGCACCGGCACGATTTGCACTGGAGTATCCCCTCCAGAAGCCTAGGGACGTTAGCTTCAGTTCCGCTTTGGCCATGCCAACCTTGAACATGGGAATATATTGTTAACAAATTTAAAAAAATAACAAACTACACTGTTTACAACTACTTTTACGATTGTGAGTACAGCTACACTGTTAAAAATATATTAAAGAACTCAAATAAGTTTTTATTTATAAGTTTATGAACATAACTTAAATTAAAAAATTTAAAAACCACCGAAACAAAAAGAGCTGATTTTTAATTAATACTCTCGATTATGCCTTTCAAATGAGAAAAATTTAATCAAAATCGCTTCACCGTTTAGGAGCTACGATGTCATTGGCACACATACTCGTACATTAAACATATAACACCCCCCTTTTTGTCGGGGTTTAAAAACTGTGTTCGTAGATCGTAGTGACGGATAATTGATGGATTGGCTTTGACCTTCTTCAAATGAACTTTGTAAAATGATGTTACTCGTATTTCTAAGCGGAGTGAACATCATTATAATTCATTATGCTAATAAGATTTATAAATATTACAACTGATTTGTGGACCTACTAGGGGTAAATGAAGTAGAAACGAGATTTTAATGGCTAGTGATAAATTAATGTATTTTTGCGTATAAAATTTCTTTCACCTATCTATATATTATATACATAATATGTTTAGAATTTTCTGGAAAGATAACTTATAGAATTAAAATTTTTATTAAATAAATTAAAAAATATTTACTTCTCCCAGTAGTACTGGCAAGAACTCGTTGAACGTAATGTGTTGGATCTCAGCTGCAACTGCTCGTCTTGCTTCCAGGAATAGAGTAATGTCATCCCAGAAAGGATTCATGAAATAGAGCTCGCCAGCGATCCGGTTGTGTTCAAACAAAAGAGCCTTGTATAGAGGAGCGGTAGGTAAGCCATCGTTGCACCTGCAAAAGAAAATATATTGAGGTAATGAAGTTTACCTTCGAGGTATCACCTTTTTACATACCATTAAAACAAAACACAGTAAAATTTAAAATCAAATGAAAACTCAAAATCAAGGAATTTGTGTTAAAGCAAAACATATAAATATCATCATATCTCATAGCAAAGCATTAAGTCTTATTTATAGAGAATCCATTTTATAATGGGATTGTAAAAATATGTCTACATTGTTATTACTCTGTAAAGTAAATCCTAAGTGTCCATTCTTTAAATGAAGTGCAGTAATCCTATTTGTACGTAGTAGAGCCGAGTAGAGTAAAGATTGTGTTTTGCAAGGATCGGATAAGGCCTATACTCGTATTAGCGTAAAATGGCAGCATAATACTGCTGCATTTGTTATTGTTTTATTTTATAGGATTGGGTGACAAACGAGCACACAGTCCATCTGATGGTAAGTAGTTACTGTGACCCATAGACATCTACATCTATCCTCAATAAAGACTCAAAATGCAGATGCGTTGTCACCCGTGAGGACTAAGATGGAATGCCTCTTTTCCAGTAAAAAGGGTCTCCGGTTAAATGTGACTGTCGAGAACCAGAAATTCTTTTTTGAATTTTTTTTATTAAACTGAATTGACAAAAGAACTAACAGATAACCTCCCCGATAAGTGACTACTGTAACCTATGGCTACCTGCAAATACATCTAAACAAAGAAAGTTACAGATGCGTTGTCACCACTGAGGACTGCGATAAAATTCCTTTCAGCCTGTAATCGTACTGGCTCTTTAGGTATATTAATAACTAGCTGTTTCCCGCGACTTCGCCCGCGTGTAATTTAGGGTTTTCATTATGTTGTGCTGAACCTCAATTCTTTTTCTAAAATATAAGTAGTCTAAGTTAGTCATTATAACATCAGTTATCTGCCAGTAAAAGTCCTGTCAAAATCGGTCGAGGAGATTAGCCGGAACAAACAGACAGACAAAAATTTTTAAAATTGTGTTTTTGTTATAAGTACCGTATATACTTTCATATGCATTTAGTAAAGAGCTGTTATTTTGATATTACAAACAGACACACATAAAGTCGTAGCAACGAGACGCACGTCATCCATGTTTAAAAGATCTACGTTGAATGAATACAGACGAATATGTAAACGCGTCGTATTCGTCCACGAATAACTCGGCGAGATACTCAGCAAGTTGTACCGTCCGATAATCCAAACGTGCCAACCGTCTAGGTCGTAATAAGCGACCCGTCGATTGTATGGGAAATACACCGAAACGCCACACGTTTTGCCAAACGTTTTCCACTTTAGCCTTAGGCTTACCCTAAGTAATCCAGCCAAATTGAGGTTGTAAGCAAAACTCGATAGATATCCAAGCATGAAGTTATCATTTAGCGTGTTTGCGTTACAAACAACATCTTATATTATTTTCTAATCGTCACTATATGCACACAATAAAACTACATGGCATAAATGTATACTCACTTAAGAGTGCAAGATAGTATTTATGTACTAAACACTAAACTGACTTCTCTTCCTTAAACACATGATATATTCTTAATCTGTCAGTTGAGTAAGCAAAGCTAAATATATATTCATATTAATTTGAAAGATATTTTTCTTTGTGAACCGCTAGTCTTATGCTCCGATCATCTGGCCACTTCGCCACAGGTTCAAATCCTACCCGGAGGCGTTATTAAATAGGCTGCATACATCTTACTGTCAAGCTATTTATAAGTGTATTACGTATACAACTTAATACTAACGTTGTATACAACTTTGTCATTTCTTTCTCTTCATTTCGCAGCAGTATACCTACTACAAAAACTTTGTGAAATAAGAGTAATCACTTCCGAAATTGTCCTTAAACTAACAATTTTCATTCTTTAGGTTTGTAGTAAACAAAAAAGAAATTAATATAATTTAGTTACCACAATAATCAAAATAAAGGAACAACGTTTAAACTGGATTATTGTATTTACGTATAATGAGAATCCTTGAGCATAAACAATGGGTAGACAAAGAGCACCGTAGCAGCTTCGGTGTGCTTGAATGCACAGCGACAGAAATACGTGGGACATGTTCACATCAATGTACATTGTAATTGTAATTAAATGATAAAAAGTAAATTCTGTAGTACTAAAATAGGTGATCTATAGAGGACGAATAACAGATTTAAATACTTTGGTCTTTTTAAAACACAGGTATACATTGTATTTTTTCAAATATTAGACTTTATTCGCGAGTTTCTAAAGGAAGAAGAAGGTTATAGTGGCACATTAAAGAACTTGAGATTTGAATTATTCTGTATATCATCATCATCATTACAGCCTGTCATAAGTCCACTGCTGAACATAAACCTCCCTCAAGGAATGCCACAAAACACGGTCCTTAGCCACCTGCATCCATCGACTTCCTGCATGTCTTACCAGCTCGTCATTCCATCCAGTGGGGGGTCGCCCTACACTTCGCCTACCGGTACGAGGCTGCCACTCGAGAACCTTTCTTCCCCATCGGTTGTCAGTTCTTCGAGCTATATGGCCGGCCCACTGCCCTTCAGCTTACTAATCCGTTGGGCTATGTCTGTTACTCTGGTTCTACTGCAGATATCCTCATTTCTAAGTTTATCACGCAGAGAAACTCCGAGCATAGCCCTCTCCATAGCTCGCTGAGAACCTTGAGCTTCCTCATACGGCCAGCAGTGAAGGACCACGTCTCAGATCCGTAAGTCATCACTGGCAACACGCACTGGTTGTACAATTTCGGTTTCAGGTTTTGAGGTATACCTGACGAGATGTGTCGTAGCTTCCCGAACGCTGCCCAGCCGAGTTGAATCCGTCGATTGACCTCTCGGTCGAGTATGTTACCCAGGACTTTTTGTCCCAGGTAAACATACTCGTCAACAACTTCAAGCTTAGTGCTCCCAACAACTACCGGCATAGGTGTGACATGGACGTTAAGCATGATTTTTGTTTTTTCCATGTTCATCTACAGACCTATCCGTTGGGAGACACTATTGAGGTCATTGAGCATAGTGCTTAAGTCGTCTAGCGATTCTGCCATAAGGACTATATCGTCGGCAAATCGAAGGTGAGTGATGTACTCGCTATTGATGCTAATACCGCATCCTTTCCAGTCCAGTAGCATGAAAACGTCTTCCAATGCAGCGGTGAAGAGTTTCGGGGATATAACGTCTCCCTGTCTTAAACCTTTCTGCAGTTGGATAGGTTTCGTACTCTGATTCTGTACTCGGATAGCCATCGTAGCTCTACTGTAAAAACATTTCAGCACTTCGATATACCGACAGTCAACTTGGCACCGCTGAAGGGACTGCAGCACCGCCCAAATTTCGACGGAATCAAAGGCTTTCTCATAGTCTAGATTATACTCCTCTGTCTTCTGTAAAATATGTCGCAGGGTTTGTATGTGGTCTATGGTACTAAAGCCTTTTCGGAAACCGGCTTGTTCGGGAGGCTGGAAGTCGTCAAGTTTGCGTGCGAGACGATTCGTAATGACTCTCGAAAACAGCACGTAGACGCGGTTCAGAAGGAAAATCAGTCTGTAGTTCTTCAAGAGAGCGTTGTCGCCTTTATTGAAGAACAAGACCACCGCACTTCTGCTCCACGCCTCCGGAGTAGTGCCACCATGGAGGACGGAATTAAAGAGCTTCTGAAGGACTTCAAGTACCGGTTTTCCACCCGCTTTCAAAAGCTCTGCTGTACTTCCATCCTCGCCACGGGGACTTGACATTTTTAAGGTGCTGGAGAGCCATTCTAATCTCGCTCAGACTTACGTCCGGGATATTTTCGGAATCGTGTCGGATAAGATTCGCTCTTGGATCGTCACTCACACTTGCGTGTGGCTCCAACGATGACGTGTACAACTGCCCATAGAACCTCTCAATCTCATTCAAAATCTCAGGTGTCCCGGAAACGATGCTGCCACACTCGGTCTTCAGCTTTGACAGTTCGCTCTTTCTAGCAGACAGATCTCTGGCAAAGACTTTGGAGCCTTGGTTCCGCTCGATCGCTTCTTCAATACAAGCTGTATTGAAGTTGCGTAAGTCCCGCCGCAAGCATTTGGAGATCTGTCTGTTCAGTTGCCTGCATGCTGTCAAATTTAACAGGCATGAGATTAAGAGTGTGATCAGAGAGTTTTTGTGTTCTTCTGCGGCGGGTTGTTTGTCATTCATATCGTCCAATTCTGTATATAATAAAGAAAAAATAATTGTGAAATACCTGTGAAAATAAACAAGCGGATATATTTTAAAGAACTAGTACTAAACTAGTAGTAAAGCCCAATTTAACTCAATTTCAAGGCTTTTTATTACATTTTAGATTAAATTATGGTACTTAAATGTTTGTATGCTCTAAATGTTGTACTCACTTGCGACAAGAAGCTAAGTCGAGTTTTCCGGCGTCATAGAGCCGAAGCGAGCGAAGCTCTTTCTCTGAGCTGCCGTACAATGCCGAACCGTCGAGAACTGAGGTCGCCAAGTTCATTTGGTCACGGAACTCTGTAAGATAAAGATATCATTATTGCAAGCCATGAATATTTTTGTGTTTTGGGAAATTTTGTTTTCAGTTATATATTCCCGTTAATTATTCTAGTTTCGTACTTACAACCATCGACATGAAATGCTATTAGCGGAGAATGGAAAAGTAAGTCGAATAGATAAAGTAAAAAATCAATTATTTTGAATAAAAAGCTTAAAGGTAATTAAAAAGTAATAAAAAAAACATGACTGTAAAAGAGAAATTTTTTATACTCTATGAAACTTCCACAACTAAGATGAATCTGACGAAACTACATAATATGTTAAAATCCATCAAGCCGTTTAGACTTAGAGGGTGTCCAAGAAATAGACATACTACATACATACATGCTACAACACTACCCTCCTTCTGGGGAATTCGTGTAATAAGAAGCTATACAAAACAGAAAGTAATAATATTGGGATACCTTTTATCACTAGTATGTCGTGATTAGGAGAGGAAAGATTTCGGTTTTATATGGATTTAATAATAAAAGGTTAATCTGAAAGGTTGCTATGACACAATTTTAAAATATAAAATGGTACCAAATGATACGCTGTTAAAAATGCGAGTTGTTTATGCTGATATATTTATTAATTTATAATAATATCAATGAACGCACCTTAATCGTAATATTTTTTATTAAAACGACCTCTGTAATACATTAAATGCATAACTTTATGCAATATTAATTTTTTAAAATTTAATTACATATTTTATGTTTATGTTGCATAAATACATATTGTTGTTTTTTATAGTTATTTTTGTCTAAAGCAAAATATGTAAATAATTTTCGTGTAAATGTATAAATCATGTTGTTTTTTTTTTAAAATTGAAACTTAAAATTGTTCCTGACTATGAAGGGGATACGAGCTGTATAACAAGGTATCAATTTACACTTAATTGTATGCGCTTACGAATTATCGTACATAATTTCGGTGTAGCTTGCATACATTAAATTACACCATAAGATAATCTGTGCCGCAGATGCAACATTTCAAACAACTTTGCGTTCACTCGAGCACGTTATTATGTATGTCGTATTGTTTTTTTTTTAATTTACATTTGGGTATTAATTGGCTTCGGTCTAAAGGCGATTGGGACGACTTATAAATAAAATTTAGTGTGCTTAATGAAATAAATATTTATTTTTGTCTGCTGGATAGGTACCGAATCGAGCTAACCGGATGTATCCAATGGGTTATTATAATGTACTCATAAATGTATATTCGTAATATACGTGTATATTCACTCGTTAAGTAAGCTACCAAGGCGAATGCTCCATGTTATACCCTTTCTCTAGGTTTTTTGTATTTTAGGTTTCTGCTGATTACAACGGAAGCTTTATTTTATAGAATGAGGGTAACAAACGAGCACATAGTCCACCTGATAGTAAGCGAATGTAATGACACAGACGTCTGCATATATCCTCGATTAAGAATCTAAATGTAGATGCGTTGTCACTCCTGAAGAGTAATATGGAATACATTGTTTCCATTAAAAAGGGTCTCTGGTTCGCTACACTCACCATATGAAACACTGAAGCATTGGGCTGGTATTCTGTGAGAGCGTGGTCCTTCCTTGGTCGAGCCAACCCCTTCATGCTACATCCATAACCATACTAAATAAGGAGTGTAACACATATTTTGCCGATGTTTTATATATTACTCTTCTTTAACATTATATATTATAGATGATTATAGAATTAATATTTATGGGTAGGTAACGAACAGGTCATTTACAGAAAGGGGAATGAAAGTGAACGCTAGTTAGACGAAAGTAATGGTTTTTGAAAGAGAATGGAGGGGGCGTTGGTTGAGCAAGTAGATGAGTTTGTATATTTAGGACGTGTGTTCAGCAGGGACGATAGATATGACAAGGAGCGAGTGCACATAGGGCACAGAGGAAATAGGTTTCTTTTGTGGGAAGTCACAATATGTCAAATAAGCCACGTACGGTAGTCCCTACCGTAACGTATGGTAGTGAAAGTGATATTTATTATGTTTATATATAAAAATTACGTGTCACATTGTTTGTTCGCGATGAACTCCTAAACTACTGAACTGATTTCAATGAAATTTTACACACAGTGTGCAGTTTGGACCAACTTAAGAGTTAGGATAGTTTTTATCCCGATAAGTGACCCTCAATTTTTTTATTGCTAATTTCAGGAGTTTTTTTAGGAAAGCAAATGGTCGTTCAGAAAGGGCAGAACAACGTCTGCCTGGTCAGCTAGTTATATATTAAGAAATGAATGCTGTAGAAATGTGGTTATTTAGGAGTATGTATTTTAGGGCTGAATCTGAATGACAGAGTGAAAATCTGTGTGATAAGAGAAAAGTGTGGCTTGCAAGATAATGTTGTGACCAGGATTAAGAAAGAAATGCTTCGGTGGTTTGGTAATGTAAAAAGAAAGTTGCAGATATAAACGGTAGAGTCGGCAAGAGACGCCCTGTACGGAAGTTTATCGACCAAATTGGCAAAATCCTATACCCTTAACCGACGAGCATGTATACGTAGGTATGTATGGATGTAAAGGAGGTGAGGAAGGTATACGAGTATCAGGGACGTGCCAAAGGGAAGTCTGAAGTCTCCGTCTACCCCTCTTGGTGACAGGCGTTTATGTATGCATGTATGTTTATATTACTTGTAGATATTCTACTATTATTAATAAATAAATTACTTATTATTAGTACCTATATTTTAGCTCTTCTCTTTTCTCTACTAATCTTTTGTTGTAATAGTGATAATTTCCGAGGATTTCCAACGTGAAAAGATTTTTAGCGTTCCGTTCCCCGCTGAATCCATATTTGTCCAGCATAAAGTAACCGTGCGATATTCCGTTGAAAAAACATTTTATTTTTGCTTTTAATTGGGAAATAAATGATCTTGATAAAAATGTAGCCGATAAGGAATCTATTTTTTATGTAGAATTAGGGTGACAAACGATCACACAGTCCACCTGATGGTAAGTGGTTGCTGTGGCCCATAGACATTTTCATCTATCCTCGATTACGTATGTCCTCAATATGCAGATGCCACCCGTGAGGACTAAGAAGGAATGCCTCCAGTAAAAAGGGTCTCTGGTTCTCTCCACTCACCGCACGAAACAGAGAAGCATTAAGGTCCGCTACATACATTCGGAATTCCGTACGGGTCGGCCACATACATACATTCGGATCTCGTTTTCCCGGAAAATTTCGAACGGAAAACTACAGTACGTGTGTTGAAGGACCTTGATTTTATATGGATTCACTGCGTTCGGAATACCGTATCAGAAATACCGAAACGGAACCTTAGAACGGAATTCCGAATGTATGTGGTGGGCCATAGCTTCTATTTTACGCTGGTATTCTTTGAGAGCGTGGTCCTTATTCGGGAAAATGCTTTATTTTAAAACATTCATTACTTCGTTTCACAAAGTTATGGAAATTTTAACGAGTAAAGTATTTTTGAACGCCACACGTAATTGAGAAATGTTTTTTACTTATTATGAACCGATATAAATTCAAAGATTTGGTTTAATTTTAACTCACCGAAGCCACATGAGTCGAGGTTTCTTGCCGGTGCAGAGCGAATGTATTCGCAGTTAGAGGAGTCACATTTCTGTAACAAATAAATAATTTATTTAAGCAGTAGAACAAAAAGTCAAATTAAAGTAGTAAAAGAGAACTGATAAACGAAGAATCACAACATGCTATAGGAAAAGAAAATTATCAAATATGTACAATCAATTGGAAGGTCTGTATTTTGGAGGGGATTTAAATGTAATAATAATAATGCCAAGCGTGACCATTAAGGCTAACTTTTTTATTTTGCGCAAAACCCATGTTCAGCTGTGGACTATATATATATATATATATATATATATATATATAACTATAGGATAATTGATTAGGTGTTTATAAGAGCTGTGGTAGCGCTGGTCATACTCGATTTAAAATTTACTAGTACGTGAGCGAGTCAAACTTACTTATGATATTTCGTACGTCTGAGCCAGATAAGAATGACTCTCCAGCACTTTAAAAACGGCAGGGTATTGAGCAAGGATGGAATTACTTCTCAAAGCGAGTGGAACAACCGGTACTTAATGTCCTTCAGAAGCTCTTCAATGCCTTCCGAACAAGCCGGCTTCCGAAAACTCTTGAGTACCATAGACCACATACATACCCCTCGGCAAATTCCACAGAAGACCGAACTCTTCTCATCTGCCGATTTGTCTTGTGGACGTAATCAATGACGTATTCTTCGATATTTTATAACATCGATTTACCGACGATATAGAACCTTAAAACTATGCTCAATGACTTCAATATTGTCTCCCAATGGATAGGTCTTAAAATGAATATGGATAAAACAAAGGTCATATGTAATGTCCATATCACACCTATGCCGGTAGTTGTTGGGAAGTTGCCGACGAATATGTTGTATGTTGTACCTAGAACAAAAAGTCCGACTAGGTTCATGCAACTTCGCGACCTGGAGGTCAATCGATGGATCCAACTAGGCTTGGTAGCATTCGGGAGATTATGACACATCTCGTCGCGAGTTACCTCAAAACTTTAAAATAAAATTTTACAATCAGGGCGTGATGACATTTGGATATGAGCATGGTCCTTCAATGCTGGTCGTATGAGGAAGCTCAAGGTCTCTCAGCGAATTATAGACAGGGCTATGCTTGGTTTCGGTGATAGACGTAAAAATGGGGATATCTGCAGTAGAACCACAGTGACCTACATATCTCAAGGATTAGCCTGTAGCGGCAATGTGCCGGTGGGGTAGAAATGTTCTCGAGTGGCAGCTTCGTACCGGTTGGCGAAGTGTAGGGTTGCCCCACTAGATGGAGTGCCGACCTGGCGAATATGCCGGAAGCCAATGGATGCTGGTGGCTCAGGACCGTGCTTTGTGTCGTTCCTTGGCGTAGGCCTACGTCAAACTTGTGATGGATTGCAATGATGATAATGTGAATGATTAAGAGCTAAATCTTAATTATGACTTAAGGCAGTGTCCAAGTAAAAATTCAAATTACTACCATAATCGCAGTTTTATTTAATTTATATAAATAAATAATAAAACTGCGATTTAAATCATTATAATGTTGTTTCTTTTTTAATATTTAAGCTTTTTAAGGTCATTGACCATGTAATCTGTTACGTAAAATTTAACAAGTCCCGACGTCACATTTATTATAAACGCAGCTTTAACTTGGACATGAAATCCCCATCAGTTCGAATTATCTCTTAAGTAACTAACTAACAATGGCTATGAAATGTTATACAAATAACTTTCACTAAGCGAACATTATACGTAACTTGTATTCGTAATCCGTGGGTTAATATTGCGTTATTATTGGCGTCGTCTTCATTAAATATGCATTTACATTTCATTATAATGTTTATAATAAATACGTTATAATCGTCCACTTGGCTGATTTTGGCCACTGCAACTGAACGTAGCGATTACATTCTATTTTAAAATACAATCGGCGCATAGACATGCCGCGTGTAGACATGTGACGTTCCAATTTCGAAGATACGCCGTTTGAAGAGCCTAAGATATATTTGTTCATTATGTTTATTAAGATTTATTATTATTAGTTGTTTTATCTATTGCGCATTCTGTTTGATTGATAACATGATATTAGTAACGTGCAAACACATGAGCACTCACTTGTTATGTTTTGAATTTGGATGTAATATCAAAAACACGAGGTCACTCACGTCACAACTAAATCTCGAAAACCAATAATTGTGATACCAATAAATGATGCTCTAAATTAGCTACTCCTACCAGAACAGGCTAGGGCTTGTCCTGGATGGACACTTGATCGTCTATTAAAATTCCACGGCTGAACATAGGCCTCGCACATAAATTGCCTCAAGGGATATTTGCCAAATTTGTTACGCTTGGCAGGCGTGTTGACAATCGCAGTTTTGTTACTATTTTTATTTATCAGGAAGATGTTGCCCATCTCTTGCTTAATTTCCCTCTGTCACTTTTTACGCAAACCATGGGATTATAAAAGGTAGTGGAGCCTTACGCCGCCACTACATGGCAAAGAAATATTAATAATACATGAGTTTATAAGAATTTAATATTTTGATATCCTCGTATATACGAAATAAGAAAAACAAGAATTTTCGTCGTCGAGGTATGAGGTCTATGAAAAGTTTAAAGCTTGACATTTAAAATACCTAGTTGAATTACGACAATAAAGGTATGCACCTACGAGTACTTATTAAGTACAAAGGTTTAGTAATGCATTAAATTTCGTGACCTATTTTGTAAATGAAATTAATCTTAAAATTGCAAATTTAATATTTCTTTCTATTTAATATATTCGAGATTAGTGCAGTAAAATTCGTGCAGTATAAATACAAACGGCTTCATAATAATTACCAGTTGTTTTCATTGATTCAACTAAATTTATCTGTATTATTATATATTATATTGCCATTTTATCGTATCTAGCGTGGCTCCAAAGATTGTTTAATTTACATACTTACTTTAAAAAATATAATTAAAAGTATTGGTACTTTTTCTTACAGTAGTATGGTTATGATTTGTGAAATATGTGCTCCCTTTTATGACATTAACACCTGCTCTCCTTTTTATTTATATATGTCATACAAAAAATATGCAGAAAAAATTATGCAGTGTGTAAGTACAAAGGTACTACTTTTTCATAATATATAAAACTGTCTTCCAGTAGAACAATACAGAAATAAAAAGAATTAAAAATTAAAAATTTTGCACAACCGACTTCAATATAAATTATTAAGAATAACTCAAAAACTATTAGTCAGACCTTGAAAAATTTTATAGGACCCCATGAGAAACACCAGCTTTCAAATAAAAAAAGAATCATCGAAATCGGTTCACCCAGAAAAAAGTTATGAGTTAACACACAAAAGAAAAAGAAAAAAAAACATAGAGTCGAATTAAGTACCGCCTCCTTTTTGAAGTCGGTAGAAAAACAGTTACCTTTCTTGTATTTCTATGGTTAAAAATACATGAAATCTCATAACTTTTATTTATTTAACACTAATCTAATATTTTATCGTTCTCTTCTGCGTTGACTAATGTAATGTATTAAATTCTGGCTGTCTGAAATAAATAAAACAATTAAATGTAAATCTTGATGGTTGATCGCAGTCATTGCAACTGATAATACTGCATTATGTTAGTGAAAACATTAAAAATTATTATATGTATTAAAGAATCAAATTTCCAGTGATATATTTTTCTTTTATTGACTGGCTTAATTTCAATAAATTATGAATTCTACTTTTCCTTAATATAAAGATAATTCTACTCTATAAATAAATAATATTTTCCTAATTTATTACTTGATTTAAAAGATACGATTAAGATACATATTTTAAAGATTTGATATGAATGACAGACGAGCTTTAGAGGAAGAGACTGCCTGTTAAGTAACAGCTTTCACTGCCTCTTCGCGAACATGTGACCGTGAGATACCTTTCTTTGAATCATCCGGCGAACTATCAAGAGTGATAGTAACGGCCATCTCATATTTACTTCAAATTTAGGTACTTACAAAAGACGTTCATATATATACAAGGGTACTTACCATGTTAAGTACATTGAGATTGGCGCGATGACAGACTTTTATCAGTTTTTTATATTAATATTTCTTAAGTTCTAAAACAAATTCGAAAACAAAACATACATTCGAATTGTAAACCTCCGGACATTGTGTGGACCATTTTTGAGTAAAATATTTTGACCGACTGTGTTGTTGTAAACAATAACTAGACTCAGGTTTGCGGAAATGCATTTTAATACAGATAAGATAAGTCGCAGTTTGCGGTTTTATGGAAAACTAGATGACACCGCGACCTTAAATCTACATCACCACTTACCACAAGGCGGGATTGTAGATAAGTACTGGATTATAATAAGTAAAAAATGGCGAATATATATTATTACAATTTTTTTTTATCATGCGGAAATACCGTCATATTTCGGTCTTGTAGTTATGACGGATTAGTTCGCTTGTTGATTTATTTACAAAGGTCATAAAGTAGAGGCACCTAATTCCGAGGGTTTCTAAAATTGGCACTATATTCCGAGGTATTTAGAAAAACTGCGTTTACATGTGTTTATTTGTAGTAGTGTGTTTTATGAAAAGCGATAAATTATTTACTATCTCCATGAGTATATCGTTATATTTCTCTGCTCGACATTGTCCTATCCCTTTGTAGGAACCATTGGCCATAATTACCATGCTTGGTAGATGGATTACCGATCCCAGTACAAAACGTCCAGCGCCTTTGATGCTGATCGGTTTTAAGCATTTTTTAACTAGTGTAAAACGAGATGATTATATTAGCGGCTATCGGAAATTCGGAAACATTGAACACTTTCTGGCATTTCACATCGTCGTGTTATACGACACTCACTGAACGGAATGGGGTGATAGATTTTTTTTACTCCTTTTTTTTTACGTTTTCTCATTTTTTTTTATAGAACAAGTATGCCAATAGAGCACATATCACACCTGATAGTCACTTGTTTATTATTGTAAAATCAAGAAACCTGACTATTTAGTTAAACGTTCAGCAGAGTACATTTGTAACAAA